GTTACAGATAAGTAATATTCATTGCTATGCGGACGACAGTACAGGAGATACATTATATACCGGTCATGCAAAGATCTCGCGGGCACATACCGATGAGTGCCGGAATAGACTTGTGTCTGAAATCGAAACTTCACTCCATCAAGTTTCGATCTGGGGTGAACAAAATCTTGTTCAATTTAACCCCAAAAAGACACAAGTCTGCGCGTTTACCGCAAAAAAGACGCCGTTTGTCGTATCTCCTCACTTTCAGGGCACTTCCCTTGATAAAAAGTCAAGTCTAGGAATTCTGGGCGTTGATATATCTTGCGACGTCCAGTTTTGCGGTCATCTGGAGGAGAAGGCTAAGATAGCTTCCAAAAAGTTAGGAGTGCTCAATAGGGTGAGACGATATTTCATGCCAGAACACCGCCTGAAATTATATAAAGCCCAAGTCAGGCCGCATATGGAATACTGTTCTCACCTGTGGGCAGGAGCGCCACAGTACCAACTCCTTCCGTTAGACCGCATTCAAAGTCGGGCGGCTCGAATTATCGATAGTCAACGCCTTACTGTCCGGCTTGACCCATTGAAACTGCGCAGAGATGTTGCATCTCTGTGCATCTTCTACCGAATTTATCATGGGGAGTGTTCTGAGGAATTGTTCGGATTGATACCTGCTGCTGATTTTCACCACCGTACAACCCGCCACAAACTAAAGTTTCATCCCAATCATCTGGACGAGTGGCGGTCTTCCACCGTGCGTTTTTCAAGGCACTTTCTTCCACGCACAACCATTCTTTGGAATCAACTTCCAGCAGCAGTATTTCCGAACCGATACGACAACATAACCTTCAAGAAAAGAGTATATTCCTTTTTAAAAGGCCGGCAGCACACCTGCAATGCCGCTGGTGTTGTGGGTGATCATGGGCGGCGGTAGTCACTTACCATCAGGTGAGCCGCATGCTCGTTTGCCCCCTGTGTTGTAAAAAAAAAAAAAAAAAAAAAAAAAAAAAAATACTGTTTCGCCCATGATACCCCTCATGCGTTGCCATTCCTGAAGACTCAGGTGTTATTCCTCTGTACCCTGTAAATTCACGCCATATCCCACCCTTCAAACCGAAACACAGCCATGCAAACACAACTGCTTCACGGTAGAAACACAAATGGGACAGAGGTACCCAAGCAATCGACTTTTGTACAAAGTCTTCCTCTTTTTATAATTATCTAAATACGTACTAGTAATTTTATTGATTTAATTTAATTAATTGTTTTTTATTTAATTCAAGAATTTTTACTTAGGAGCGGGTAGAAAATCAATAATTATAAACAAAGTTAAGTACTACCCTACTTTTTACTTTTTATATAGGTAGACCAGCCGAGGTAGGTTTCTTAATTTATTGTTTGTTGTTGATTTGCAATAATTAGTGCAATTTACGGTAACAAAAAAATTACTATTTGTTTTATTTAATTTCATCCATTAGTCTAATAAAGCAAAAGTTTGAAGATGTCATCGTGTTTTATTTAAAATTTTAAAATTTCTTTAGATATCCGAGAAATCTGAGAAATCCTGGTCGTGGGTTCTCATGCCTCGTGAAATAAAAAAGGATGAGAAACTCTTAGTAATGTTTTATTTCATCAACAATGTCTTTATATTGAATTGAATTAAATCTACATATACTATTATTACTATAACTGCGATATATAATATTATACAGTGGTAAAGGTGAGTATATACTTGTAAGTAAGTATGCTGGATACTTTTGATCTTATTTTAAAAATTCTTTTATTATTGGAAAGATATATTATTATATTTATCATTATTATTAGTAGTGCTAGAGATTACTTTGTATTTTGGCAAACTTATATGTTCAATAATTGATCACAATAAATATAATTGAAGTCATTTCATATAATTCAATTATATATATATATATATATATATATATATATATATATATATATATATATATATATGATAATTGTTTGAGAATATGGCGTGCGCTGCTTAAGCTGTTTGAAATAAAGGTGGAGGAAATAGAGGTTTGAAATAAAGGAAATCTGTAGCAAAAATTCTCACTACAAAAAATTCTGCGAGCCCATATATCTAAATAATATCCCAGCCAAAAAGATAGTTTTTATGTTAAATGTAAAATAAATTTTAAAGTCTTATAGAATATTAGTGCAGCTGGGTTTTGGCGTGTGTGAAAGTACCTATACTTTCACAACTTTATGTGTTGAATAGTTTAAAGGTTACACAATCAAATATTTGTATCGTTTTCGTAGCAATGCTAAGCTGAGATGGATCGCTAGTATTGAATAAAATGTTAAACTTTTGAGTTCCTTGATTCAATTATTTTAAAAATAATATAATAGAGTCATATTATTTTGGAATAGTGTGATGGGTTGCACTTTGGTCTGGTCACAAAAATGTTTATCTAAACGTATACTTGTAAGTAAATTTATTATCGTTTCTTTACCCACGCCTACACATGTATTCTATGACTCATTGCTGCGCTACTTTGCTTGTAATTCATGCTCAAATCTCTTAATTAACCGTAATTGACTGTCGCGTGCCGCCTATGAGTCGCAGGGGAAGGGCCACCGAATTGACGTTTGACCTGATGGTTGGATTATTAGAAATCAGATTTCGTTGAGCCGGTTACATCATAATTAAATTACCTAGTTGAGTATAAGTTTCTAAAGAATTTTACCAATGAACAAAATACAAAATGTTTATTTATTTATTTACATTTTTGTTATTTTTATATCATCTATTAGTTATTTTAGGTTTCTTATCTTTTTTTTTGTTGAAATAAATAATTGTTTATAGGTAATATTTATTTAATAGAAACATACAAATTAATATCAATTAAATATACTACTCGTAAATTAAAATCAATTAAAGCTATGGTTTATGAAGTATACGTTTTGTATGTCTCTATTTAATATTTTTTTTATACAAATCGACATAGAATTGCATTAGACAACTTCTTAAAATATTCTACATACAAAATTGCAACATTAAAAGAGTTTAATAAATATACATAAGTATGTATAGAGTTTTGTTTCATACAGGGAACGAAATTAGTGATAATATATATGGGTCCTTGTTTATTACTGATATCTCTATTAATTGGATACAGATATTTTAAGATACACTGTTTTGAATATAACTGTACAACATTAATTTCGAAATAATATTTTACTAGAAACCTCTCTAGTCATCTACGAAACTTCCATATCAAATTTCACTTTTCTTGCTATAGACACTTATAACCAAATTTGTCAGCAAAGCTGACCTATTATCAGCTTTGTTTAGTACAGTTAATTATGTATAAAAAAGTTATATCTTACAATTTATTAAAAGCTAAGGAAACTAGCAATATTTAATCTGGAAAATGTTGAATTGTTTGTATGGCGGAATCGATTTTATAATTTTTTAATTAAAGGATTAATCATTGCAGAAATCAAAGTTCTGTAAGTCAACGTTGAATAAAGTTGAAATTCTATGACTACTTTCCTGTTTGTCATCTATTTCTGGAACCATTTATAATACAATAAATCATCGAGACAATTCAATAAGCCCAAACACAGTCTATGACTATCTTGGTTGTAACATCAGGTCAAGGCATTTATATACAAGTATTGTTGCAGTATCATCGGATGTGCATAGTTTATTAAATTTAAAATAGATCGGGCGAATGGAAGTCAATAAATAACCTTCGTAGGTAAAGCCTCTGTAGCAAATAATAAGAGAGCTGCTGTTTTACTATGAAATTGCTGATGATCTACTTACAAAAATAAAAACGTTTAAAAAGATTATTTTTTTTAGCTTAAAAGGTAGAAATTGAGTATAACATGGTTGTAATAATTTAATATGAAAATTACTTCAAAAATCACCATATAGTAATAATTTTAGTTTGTCCAAATAGGTCCTATAAATCCTAATTATAATGAGAACTGTATATAAGTATATTATATATAATTTATAAATAAATTTGTCATTCTGCTACGGATAAAGAGATGAATAGAATTGATATTAAAATTTACACTCACTATCTATTAATTTGTTTTAAACCTCTCTCTGTTTACATTATAAAAGATGTGAGATGCAGCAATTTATATTTACATTCAAAACAATACATATACTTGTACTTGGTAGTCATTAGATTTATTAGTAGATAATATGTCTTAAAAATTATGTAAGATATCATTGAATACTTTTATTTTTTCTATATTTTTCCATAATATATATAAAGTCGTTATTAGACCACGTACTTTCTATTTTAGATAATTATAATTTTTATAATTTTTAACACTATTTTAGTATGGAGTACGGTGACGATGATGAGAACGTTAAGCATATATGCGAGTGGGCAGCAGCCTACTAGAGTAGCTGGACCACGATGTTCGCTTTGGGAGTCACTCCCGCACTGCGCCCGAGCGCCGCCCGACGTACCTACGTGTATTGTATGGAAATAAATAATTGGCCCCCGTATTCTTCTTTTGACGAGCTCTCCGGCGGGTCCATTATGTCCGTTTGAGCGTGAGCGGTGGCATTCGGACGCCAGTGGCGACGTCCTCGGTCGCCTGCGTCCTGCGTCGCGCTCCGCACAACACCACGACAATATGAACACCTCCGATCGAGGTACGACACCACACTCTTACATTTTGCTAAAGATGCCCAGTGAGAACTTCCATATCATTAGCATATTGAAGATTCTTTCACACTTGGCGCAGTGCACGTATATCTACGCAACAAGGTTATATCAAAAGAGGTCGGAAGTGCGTCTAATTCCCAGTGAATGGCTAGGTCACTCAGTCGTAAGTGAATCGAATGAACGCAGAGAAGAAGATTATATCAGCAGTCGGAGTGCCGGTTATTGAAAGTGAATTTAGTGCTCGACGTAGCGGTATCCAGAAAACTGCCGGTAGTTCAATACGTTGGCCAACGGCAATAGTAAGTATGGAACACTGAGCAGCATCATGGCTCTTAATGGAACAGGTATGAGTTCTTTTATAAAATTAAAAAAACAGGCGTATTTTGTTTATTTACACTTTCTATAGAATTGCTCTGGTAGAAAATAGTATCTGCAAAATTTTGATGAAAATTTTTATAATGTTTATTAATCAATATAACCGAAACAATGGGCGTGGTTGAAAAAAGTTATATGTTTACAATACCTGTTGACCTTTCTGGAAACGAATTAGTGTCGATTATGCCATAACAGCGGTATATCATTGCGGGCATCAGCCGCACCTTAGCTAGAAGCAAGCGATTGTACTTATGTAGAGCACTGGAAACATTTGTAAATGAAAAGTATACTTATAAAATATGTATATGAGTGTATATCCATATTCTAATATACAGGCCATGTGATAATTACTATATCAGTTATAGTTTTTCATTTTGTTAAAAATTAAACGCATATTAAAGGTCATCTGGACATGAGAGTCTATACAATTGACACTAATATCATTAATTAACTTCTGCATCGATTTTTATTTCCAGCAAAATGCATATATACATAAATAAACAAATTTGTCATTGACGTTAGCGAAAAACTAAAACAGGAGTAATGGTTACTTTACGTATTTTATGATTTCTCGTTTCTTTAGTCGCTACAAACCGACAACAGTTAGTGAAGGTGCTATTAGGTAAATTTGCTTTATAGCCATTTGCCGTGGTTAGGCAGCCGTTCCTAAAGTTAGAAGGGGGAGGCATGAGCTCCAACTCGGCGCCTCATCCGGTCGCTCCTCGCGCAAATTGTCAATTGGCCGTCGTCGACTCAGGGCTGTCAACGAACAAGGTTGAGCTCTATGTGACTTCACGTGACTTGCCGGTGCTGTTAGCCAAAACTACAAGATTTGCAATTAATTATCTATAATAAATATACAAAAATCATTGTTCAAGTCTAAGGTTGTAAATTGGCGCTTTCTATTGACACTAACAATATAAGATCTAAAATTAATTTAAAAGTTTATGTACACCTCTATTGCTTTTAATAACGTAACAAGGAAGTATTCATTGTTCAGTATTATTCTTCTGCAATCAATCATTATCGATTTATTAGAACCAAAGAGATATTGAATAGGCTGGACAGTGGATCGAAAGACGACTTATGCGACGTTAATGCGGACTTCCTGTCTCCTTTGATCTGTCAATTTCCTTCATAGTGCACTCGGTGATGTGCGGGTGTCTAAACGAGGTATGACACGCACAATTTGGCACATACATGAACCAAGAGTATCACAGTGTCTTGCTGGCCGGCACGTCGTCTTTTCTGAAATCGGTTAATCCGGTTAAACAAGTTATTTCAGTAGTAATTTGAGACAATTTGTCTACGATTTGCTTGTTGACTTTGTAATTTGTGAAGAAGCCGTTAATAAAAGTGTCATAGACGAACATTAGTTCAACTGGAAAGATATTATGCTTTATTCAAATAATAGTACGTAGTAATTACAATTATTTATCTTAATACTTAAGGATTTCATAACATTTAATTGATATGCTTTTTACAATGTCGCTCTCTACTAAAGGCTATAAGGAAATACTTCAGTAAAGCACTTATGTATATTTGATAACGAAGTGCACTCTTAGATTATCAGGAACAATTCATCACATCCGTATAATAAATCTTGGTACATTTTCAATATAAATTTTACTCATCTCTAAACAGTAAATCAATTGACTTTGATGTGGGTTAACAAAGAGGTCAAAAGTGCTCGTGTCCCTTTAAAATGTCCAATGGAATTGGCTTCTTTATTACATCTTGCAATAAATATTTCATAACCCACTTTATTACATTCGTCTACCGGTTTGGCAGCAAGAAATAATATAAGAATGTTGTACTGTTTTCTATTAAAGATAAACTGGGTAAGAAAAGGTGCTAACACAATGAATATTTTAATCTTTCAGTTTGTAATATGCGAGTGCTTACTGTATGTTAGTGATTACGATAATATCGTTACGATTGTAGACGTGTTTGGAAAAAATGCAACAATTTAAGACATATGTTAGCTACAAAGGTTGGTTACATAAAGCAACTAACCGTAGAATGAATTACTTTGACAATGTTTAAACAATTTATTATAATCCGATTAAATTAGCATAAACATAATTGAATGAATGTCATTAATATTACTTTTTACAGATTTTTACAATATCTCACATTGTTGTTTTATTTGTAATAGACGCAATACTCCGCAACTGCACGCCGCCGGCTATCGACGATTTCCCGGCTGGGCTGTTCACAGAGCTCCAGCGGCAGCATGGCGCCATCGTTCTCCACGCTCTCATCTCTATCTACCTCTTTATTGCCCTCGCTGTGGTCTGCGATAAGTTTTTTGTTCCTGCCGTGGGTAGAATATGTCACGGTACGTACGAGTAATTAGTTCATTTCCATCCTCTAAGACTAAAGGAAATTATACATATTTTCGCATAATTTGCGTTGAGCTTTATTAGAAAACTATTTTACTGGAATAGAAATAATGATTGAAATGAATTGAATAATTTGTCCAATATCATTTAGTATTATACTATACAGTGTTAGAAGACACTATGGTTATTGGAAACAAATAAAATCCGATATAACAGAATAGATTCTATATCTATTTAATCTGAATGTACATTGGCACTGTACCGTGGAAATTATGTTCCGTTATGAACATATTGATTTACCAAAATATGTTATTTAAATAATTGCAGCGCTAAACATGACGAACGATGTAGCCGGGGCAACATTTATGGCGGCAGCTACTTCTGCACCTGAGCTTTTCGTGAATGTGATAGGAACATTCATTACTGAAGGTGACATTGGAGTGGGGACCATTGTCGGTTCTGCCGTATTCAATATCCTTGCTGTAGCTGCGTGCTGCGGTATCGGAGCTGGAATGGTATGATTTAGTATTTTCTTCATATATACCATGGGAAATACATTTTAATATAGCAAATTTTTTAAAAATTTTGTAAAGATATAAAATATCTGTCATTGAATTAGTCTTTAACGAATGAAATGATTTGAACGATTAAATTCCGTATAGGTTAATCAATTTTTGGATTAGTATATTGTACAGACAATTTATCTAAGAGGAGATGGACACTCGTTTTTAGGGTATCGTATCAAAATGTACAAAGAAATCCTTTTGGCGCTACTTTGTTCGTTCATCCGTCCATACAACTACTTATGCCATCAATTTGAAATTTGGAATTATTTTACATATTGCTGGCCCTCACATATTGCAATGGAAATAATTGAAAACTATTTCTTTTTTTTCCTAAGCGGCTTAAAAGAGTAGTCAAAATTACAAATTTAACCTACTGGTCCAAATGGGGTATCATATGAAAGGACTTTATTTGTATATATTAAAAATTTTTATTTATTTTTATGATGCGTAGTTTTTCAGTTATGATCCCCCCCTTGCCGCTTATTACTGAAGTTTCTGGAGGAAAAATCCTGAAACAAATTATTACAAACATGGTATAATTAGACTATTTATAAAGATATATGTGAATATTACAAGGAAAACAAAACGCCGTTTCTAACTAGCATCGTTTTATAGAAATTATCAAAGAATCTTTCAATCCAGCGGTCCAGCTTTTAACCAGATTTTGACACGAAATAAAAATTTAGGAATTGTAGTATCAATAATAATAACTATTAAGGTTATTTAGTATGCAATAAAAATAATTTTATCTCACGTTTATATACTGAAGTACGGAACTCTCGTCGTGTGAGTACAACACGTACCTGACCGGTTTATTGTTCGTCTATTTAAACAAAGAAATGCGACAAGCATTTAGTAGAATTTGTCCGAATGTTAATGTGTTGACTTGGTTATTTGCTGCATATATATTATAGTTAGTTATAGTTTGACTATGTGAAAAAAAAATATATTGTCATTTGGATTCATGAAGATGATGGAAATAGTGTTTGTGAAAAAAGATATACCTATACATTTCTAGTTTTTTTATATTTACTATGTAAGTAAACATTTATGGTATGGTCGCGGCATAGAATAGGCCGCCCCCTCCTTTTCCGTAGTTGTCGTAAGAGACGACTAAGGAAACTTAATGGTAGAGGGATGAACAACAGCGTCCCTCATAAAACATTGCCAAAATCTATACTGCGGTTGCCAATCCACTTGCTAAGCACGGAACTACTGGCAATACCTTCAAGGGGGAAGCATGTTATTATGTTCAGCAATGGACAGTTAAAGATTGATATGATGATGATGAAGTAATTACTTGACACGATTTAATTAATATTTTTTTATTTATAGGTAGTACCTTTAGACTGGTGGCCATTGACAAGAGATTGCCTTGCATATGGAATTACAGTTTCGATACTTATTTGTATAATGCATGATGAATACGTACAGTGGTATGAAGCATTTTTACTGGTTCTACTATATGGAGTTTACATTTGTATTATGTATTACGATAAATCTATTCAACATTTTGCTAGAGGTAAGTAGAGTGTGAGTTAAGTTGGTAATATTATTTTCATTGATGTTCATTATTAAATATATGAATTATGATTAATTTTCAGGAAGCTGGCAGTTTATGTCTAATCTATTGCACAAAAAAGATGAAAAACAAGACGGCTTAGAAAATGGTTTGTAATTCCTACTCCTTCTATATTTGTTGTCTATTTAGTAGTAAGAGATTTCTTGGAATATTTAATTTTTCAGAAGTTAAAAATATTAAATCTCCTCCACCGATTAATAAAAGCGATTTAGCTATGGACCATCATCAACATAATGGAAATATAAAAACTGCCTTATCTCCTTACCCAGACGTCAGTGAAAAGAATATTGAAATTGAGTCATCGCAAATTGAAAAAACATCACTGGCCGAAATTGAAAAGACCAAAAATAATGACGTTGAAACTAGAACTATCGACATGGATATTGTCTGTTCAGAAGATAACGTTAATCAGTCGAATACAGACGAAACAAAAGACGGAGTTGATGAATACGAGCATTCGCTTTGGAAATGGCCGACTGGTAGAAGCTGTTTGACTAAGGTAAGCTGTTATTAGATTGGTTAAACATAAAAAAATCGATAATATAATGTTATAATACCAATAATATATTGTTAAACATTTCAGACCACTTGGATTGTAACATGGCCTATCCATTTAGTTTTTTTATTTACAATACCAGACTGTGAAAAACCACGATTTAAGAATTGGTTTCCGCTGACGTTTATGATGTGCATTGTATGGATAGGATCACTTTCTTACATTGTAGCCTGGATGATTACGATTATCGGTAAATAAGGATTTTTATTAGTAAAAATGTTGTTGTAAAATTTTTATGAATAATAATACATTATTTAAATGCTTGTGAAATTAACTAGGTATTTTTATTTTAATTTATATTAATGTAATATAAATTTGGAAGTTGTCAGTTGTAGTTTTTAATATTTGGTGTAATAAAATTAGTAAGCTAGTATCATTACATATTTTGTCTATCTTTTATATTATTTTAGGCGATACATTAATGATACCAGATTCTGTGATGGGAATTACATTCCTTGCTGCTGGTACGTCTGTCCCTGAAGCAGTTTCGAGCGTTATAGTGGCTAAACAAGGTAAGCGTGACGTAGTATAATAATATTTTACAAGAAAACTATACTATAGGTAAGCTTTGAAAGTTGTTAGTTTTATAATTAATGAAGAGAACTAAGAGTTAATAATATTTATTTCTTTGGCAGGACATGGATCAATGGGAATAAGTAACTCTATTGGATCGAATACATTCGATATTCTGTTATGCTTGGGACTACCATGGCTTATTAAAGCGTCACTAACTCCGGCGGAACCTGGACACTATTGGGTTAGAAATTAATTGATTAACTTAAACTAACTTTTTAATTTTTAGGTGCATACTGATAGTAATAATTTTAATCTTTAATCATTGCGAATATTTTGTAATGCAAAGCGAATGAAAAAATGTCATATATATTTATATTTTAAATAATTTTCTTATTTAATTAATTTGTCTATAATAGAGAGTTTTATGCCTATGCGAAATTGTATGTATAAAAAAAGTAGAAATAAATATTGTACTCGGTCTCATTAGGACTGGTCATTTTATATAATTTCTACATCCAATATTTATATATAAATATATTTGACTCTAAGTAATATTTGTTTATTAAGGCGATGCTGGTCTTTGCAATAATGCGACAATGATATAAATATAGAAACATTAGCTCCTTCGGCTTCACCATCTCAAAATTTGTTTCATAATCATTTCACGATTCCATGAAAATTAAAAAAATAACCCTTTTAGTGTTCGCTCCTCAATGTTTTTATTTTATGTTTTATGCAGATCAAATTCCCTAGGGATTAAGTATATTTTTAATTATAATAAATATTCAATTAATATTTATCAAATCTAGTCTTCCAGACTGGCTTCTGAGTTTAAATTCTATGTTTAAGTGTTAAGCTTACCCTATATTTTGAACAAATTAAGAAAAATTGCAAATTAACCTACATTAATATCGTCACTGAAATGGAAAAAGGTAAAAATGAAATTACAGCAAATTTGGCGTGCTTAAAAACAATTAATCGAAATCATTTTGAGGAATGGCCGTCTATGTTCTTACTAATAAGTCAAAGAGTATGGGGCATGCACAATATCCATACTCGGCAGGTCTTTTCTTCGGAGTATTCCATGTATACTTTATTGGGTTGAGGTCTGGCGATTGAGTAGGCCACAGCAGAACGTTGATGCGAACATCGACAAGATGCGTGCTATGACTTTAGTCGTGTGTAGACGTGGATTGTCGTGCAAAGGGATGATCATGTCTGAAATAAGCCTGTCTACATAAATCTGAGCATTGAGGGTGTCCCTGATACAAATGAGATTGGTTCTTTCACCAATCCAAATATCGGCCCAAATCATGAATATACTTCCTTACTGACATAATTTCAAATGTTCTTAATATCCAAAGGTCGTCCTAACTCAAGTACATCTTGTATACGGCCTTATACCGAAAAGAAATTTATCAGAAAAGTAAATACAACGCCAGTCTTTTTTCTCCTAATTTTTGTATTCGCGAGCCCATTGTAAACGGGCCTTATGATTGTAGGATGCTATAAATGGAACTCTAAGTGACCTTAGGGAACGCAAGTCCATGTCACGTAAACAATTTCGGATGTTTTAGTCGCTTATCAGCGATCCTGAAGAGCTGTGGAGCTTCGTCGTCAATATCAAGGCGGCCATGGTATGATTTCGTTAAACAGTATTTTGGATGTACCGGTCATGTCTGAGAGTAATGATACGAGATTATCCTCCATATCGCTCTGCTTCGCTGCCTGTGATATGATAGTGTATCCAGAGGTGGTCTATGACTCTCTGTATAGTACCAAAAGCGACAGCCAGAGTACATTGCTTAGAACTAGCTTGTAAAATTCCGACGGCTCATGTCATCTCTTCTCGTATCAAATGATGTTGTTGCTTCGTATCGATACAATTTTTTTTTAGTTCCGATACAGAAAGTATAATGGTTTTGTAAAAATGCTATTATATAATATTATACACTTTTATAGGAATCTTGATTAACAGTTGATTTTATTTTAAATATTTCTTTTTATTTTTAATCAACATTTAAAGAAAATTCATTATTCAAATAGGAAAATTCTCAAAAAAGAATCCAAAAAAGTTAAAATTATAAATATCAATTACGGCGAGACTCTAAAATGTACTTGATCCCTAGATACTTTTGATGTGTATACGTTGATTTGTTAGTCAGTCAATAGGTTTCCTCTTTCATTCTTTCTCTTTATATTCGTTATTATATTTTTTTTGTGATATTAACGTTAAATCATTGTTCACAGGTGAAAATTAATTCAATGGGTTTGGAATACTCTGCAATATCGTTGTTATCAACACTACTTTTGCTGTATTTGACATTTTGGTTCAACAAATTTAAGTTGGATGCGGCCGTCGGTCGAGCGTGCCTCGGCATGTATGCCATGTTTTTGGTGCTTGCTACCTTAATTGAGCTGAATGTTTTCTTCCCCGTCAACATGCGTACGTGCAAGAGAACGGAACTGAAATCCTAACTTAGTGTATAAACGATAATGAAAAATGAACTGTGAAATTAAAGGACGATGGTAGATATCTTTTGTAGTAAACTGTGCGTGTTAGTATTAGTAAACACCGATTAGTGTATAATGAGCTTTTTCAACATGATCGAATTATTCGTTTAATTGAGGAATTCTCTAATATTATAACAGTTGTTTGCTTTCAATTAATTTATCGTAGAAAAAAGTATTAATCTGGTTTGTTCATAGTTCTCAAAGTTCGTAATTATCAACAAAAATTATTCTAAATTTTAACGTTGTAATATAGTCGTAAAAGTAAACAATTATTGACCAGCTATGATTCATAAGGTTTTTAGAAGAGGCTTTATATATATGATTCATTTAATAGAATCTTATGAATATGATGTTAATAAGTATTTATAATTTCGCTTGCATAGATACATGAATGGTAAATAGTAGGTATCGAGTATTGTGGTGTCATGAACCTCGATAGATGTGTTTTTGTACATATATACAACGTAACAAAGTTTTAAGTTTAATTAAATATATAGATTTATTTCATTTATTTGTTTTATTTTAGAAATAGCTAAATTATTAACGCAAAAATTATATAGATAACCCTTTGGTGACAATAATAATAATAATTTATTCAACAAAAATATACAGATGCAATTACAAGATATTATTACATATGGATTTACAATAAGTGTCTCTGGCCTCCATGCTAGGAAAATCCTGTGTCAAGGTCAGGCTACCGTACATTACATAATTAAATTTCATATTTAAATTAAGGAATTACAAAAAATATAGAAATAAAGGTTAAACTGCAAATAATAAATACTATTAAAAATATAAATAACAATAATATTAGTGTGAAATAATAAATTTACCGCCCTTCTTATATATGTGAACTAGGACATGTATGTATGAGTACATGAACTATTTGCATTTAGAAAAAAAAATAAAAACAAAAGTAGGATATATGTATATGTTTTTTTTTTATACCACTGAGATGGCAAACAAGCATACGGCACACCTGATGATAAGTGGTAACCGTACGCCTATGAACGCCTGCAATACCAGAGGAATTACGCGCGCGTTGCCGACTCTGAAGAAATCTCTTTACCCCCCTTTTGAAGAACCCCATGCTGTAGTCTCTTGGGAAAACCTTGGCAGGGAGCTCATTCCATAACCTGAGTGTTCGTGGGAGAAAACATCTCTGAAACCGCGTCATAGGCATCATATTGAATAATTCCTCTGAGCACAATCCGTTGTATAAGCGGTAGAACACGCAGAGTGAGGCAAAATCTCTCCTAGGACTTAAGGGTTCAATTTCGCTTGCAAGCCTGGGATCATCGACAATTCTCATAGCTCGTCGTTGCACTGAGTCGAAGGGTTCAAGCTGATATCTACGTGCTCCCGCCCATAAGTGACAGCAATACTCCATATGGGGCCGGATTTGCGATTTGTAAAGCATTAATCGCTGATCCGGCGTGAAATAATGCTTCGCTCTATTAAGCACACCGAGTTTTTTGGATGCCAACTTCACCTTATCTTCGAGGTGGCCACGGAACTGTACGTTACTAGAGACATCGACACCAAGGATCCCAATGCTTTTAGAGATGGTAAGAGACGTGCCCTGGAACTGTGGGGCCACAGCAAATGGGGTTTGGTAGTATATTTATTAAGAAGGTAGGTATATTTATTAAGTAGGTATTCCAAAATCTTAAATAATTTTTATACTAAATGGCGGCAAACAAGCATACGGACTGACTGATGGTACACGTGGCCATCGTAGTCTGTGAACGCCTGCAATACCAGGAATCTTACACACGCGTTGCCGACTATAATAAAAAAAAAAATAGGTAAGCAAAATTATTTACACAATTTTTCAAAATCATATTCATGGATCATATTGTTTCTGTGTTTGCTGAGAACGGTGTAGTTATATACTTTTTTAATGGATGACAATGGGATGGGGACCCTGCTTGCGCTAACGGTATTCGCTGGCGGAGCACCAGTGAGGGATGATAGATGAGAATGAAAAGACAAGTTAGTCCATCGTGATGAATACGCCTGGAATTTAACACGATGGTTTCCAGGGGGACCACGTGGAGATTGGACTGACTGAGTATATTATTACTAATGGGACTGATAGTCTATATTACTAACAAAGCCTCCCCCCGTAGTCACATGTCGTGTTATAATTAAAAAATGTAGCAAAAATTCATGTACCTATTATAATTTTAATTCGTGAATATTCAATACTTTATTTGGATTAAATTAGATATGTTTTCCCATCAATTATTCTTCTATATATATTCAATTCAATGCAATTAATTCGATAACAATATTACATTGTGTTGAATATGATAAGATTTTTAGACTGTTCAAGTGCAAAATCACAAATATACAACAATTTTACATATTAAGAATGTCACACACAAATAAGGTAATAATAATTAGTCTGAATTAATATGAATAACAATTTCAATGAAAAATTAAGTCACCATATACAACTCACAATTAATATATTTCTAAAATTCATCTATTGTGTAAATACATTTTTCCAACAGAAGGGCATGGAGATTTTTAATATTCTCCAATTTTGGATAGTTTTCAGAGCAATTGGTAATCTGTTATACAATTTCCTTCCCTAAAATTGCACTCCATGTATAACTACGTTTAATCTTGGTTGTATGTCGCTTATAATGTCTTTACGTATAGAACTTGTACGCAATGTCTTTTCTTATGTTGTTTCATATCTGGGTAGATTTTTAACAAAATTTACAATGACATTAAATACGATTTAGTGGGCCCTGGTTGCCTTTATTAAAGAATTTATTTATTTAATACATATAGACTGAGTACTGTGAGTATGCGATACTTTTTCAAAAAGTCCCTGCTAGACTGCCATTGTGGAATACGAGTGATTATTCTTATTGCCTTTTTTGTAGTCTAAATAAAAGCCCTTTCTATATTGTAATTCTATTTCCCCATAATTGAATACTATATCTAAATTTTGATTCTACTAGCGAGTAATATACTGATTTAAGTTGATCTGTAGTTAGCAGGTCCCTTAAACTCCTTAAAGCACAGCACGATGAACTAACACTATTACCGATGGAGTGCAATTCACTTCTCCAGTTCAATGCTAAGTCAAACTGTACACCTAGAAATTTTACTTCGTTTACTATTGCAATTCTTTCGTCATTTAGGAGAACGTTCACGTTCAACGTTTTTTGCAGTAGACTTAAATAGTATGACGCATTAGTTCTTGTATGTCAACAGCGTAAACTATGGCATTTGTACCTCTGGTATTGGCGTTCATAGGCGTCCATAGGCTACAGTAACCGCTTACCATCAGGTGGACTGTATGCTTGTTTGCCATCTCAGTGATAAAAAAAATCTGCGAATATAATCAATTCAACATTGTTCAATGAAATATAGATATAGTCTATTAGGTCGTTGATAAATAAAATGAAGTATATTGGACCTAATATTAAGCCTTGTGGCATGGCCCCTTTTAATGACCGTCAATTTCGATATATGCGAGGTTTCATAATTATTTTATGTAATATCTTCATTATCTGTGTTTCAGTTGAAAGGATGTTCCGAGTCCTCAGGATAGGGGCATATCATGGGCGAAACCACTTTCCAAAACATGGGCCGTCAACTTGTTTGCCTTTTTAGGTTGCATAAAAAAAACATACAAAGTTTAGTTAATTAATTCTAATTAACTACATTTATTTAAAACTACTTCAATATCTGATGTATTTACACTCCTGCCAAATTAGCTTCGCATTTATATAAGATAGGTGAGGGTCCTACTTTTCTATCTCGCGCTAATACATATGTTAGTACGTTTTTTCTCTTTAATATTGCCAATTGCGATTAATATATATATATATATATATATATATATATATATATATATATATATATATATATATATATATATATATATATATATATATATATATATATATATATATATATATATATATATATATATATATATATATATATATATATATATATATATATATATATATATATATATGAAATTTACGTCGTTTATATATTTGTTTTAGTGAGCTATTAGCTTGTTATTCATCGTGTTGTAATTAATGATTTTGGTGTGTGTATCCCGGTATAGAATGGGTCACCTCTACCTTTCCCCTGGGTGTCGTAAGAGGCGACTAAGGGAGGGCGAGAGATGGACAGCAGCGTTCCTTCTAAAACATCTTTAAAAGCCTAATTGTAGTTGCCAACCCAACTTGATGTTGTCAAGCGTGGCAACTACTGGCAAAACTCCCCTTATGGGGAACGCTTATGTCCAGCAGTGGACAGTTAATGGCTGAAACAACAATAATTTTGGAGGTGTAGCAATTAAACACACCGCTCCATCTTCAGATTCGTAAGTTCTAATAATCTTACTTTCATTTATGAATACGTTTGTTTGTAATGGCCTAGGTGTTTTTTTTTCAGTGTATTATGTGTATGAATTAAAAATATTTAAGTGTATCTTAGACCACAACTCACACGGCTCTGTAATAAGTGGCAAAACGTTGAAAAAAAAAAACATTATTTTAGAAACAATTTTCACTTTACTAGCAAAACAGAAAAAATAAAACAAATGAATAAAAAATGTTTTGTTTTCTTCGAATTTATAAACTGCAGAGAATAAATATTAATATTGTAAGGTCTGAAATTATCTGAAATGTATTCAAGTAAATAACACGCCATTAAAACAATGTGGTAAATATGTGATTCTATAACACTAATTAAGATCTATTTCAACCATATTAATGCAAATAAATTATTATTATTATATATTCGTATTATTACAATAAAATACATTTTAAATCACTCTTTATAATACTATATTATATAATAATGATAATTGCAGCCTATGAAATAAGTATTTGTGTGTAGATAATTTATTTATAATTATTATTACTACTATTTCAAGTCATTCGAGTGTCTTCCAGCTTAGTATGCACTTTCTGAAAAAAAAGTTAGTACTAGTTAATAGTTATATATAAATGATGAGTTTAATGTATATATTATATTATTGAACTTTATTATTTGCACTTAGTCTTTTATTAATTATTGATTTCAAGGGTCTCTTTAAGTATAAATTCAAGGTTATCGGAGCCATTTTATAAAACTCAGAATCTTTAAGGTTTCTCTGATTTGTCAATGAGAAATCAATATTCCTGGGATTCGGGAAGGTTGAGAGAGTGAGTGATGGGTGTTTATATAAACAAGGAAAAAGCAATTAGGTCGGCCAAGGGTATTCCTGTTGTACTTGAAAACAAATTAACGGAAAACGATCAAACACGATCTAACAAATATGGTAGATTTGGAGTAAGTATGTAATTGGAATCGACAAGGTTGTTTAATAAAATATTACGAATAAAACGAATTTGAAGAAAACTATATCAAGATAGAAGCAAGTAACAATCTGCAGCCTTTACTCTACTCCAAAAGGTAAAGTGATGTGTTCATCTTTTAGGAAATCGTTTTACTGTTTAGATAATAATAATAATAAAATATCTACTAAACTATACGCGATGTAATTAAACATTTTACTGATATTACTAATTTAGTAAATTGACAATTTATTTTAGATGAGATCATGATCATAGATGATAATGCCTATCTTTATTTTTATTGTCTAAATTAAATTATTTATAATAAACTAATTAAATTTTTATTAAATTCATCTGCAATTATCATGGTAAAAACATACTGAATTTAACATCCCGAAATACAATATTTATATTAATATAATATATTTATTTCAACTAACTGTGTAGGGTGTACTTGTATGCAACTGGCTCAGTTCACGCGCGTGTAGTTCAATATCGTGCTGAGTCAATCGAGGCCTGCGACAATGAGGATGCTGTCTTGGAAGCCAATGATGTATCACCGGTGTTAAAAGGTCTCTGTGAACCTGCAAAAGTAGTGTCAATTTAGTATATAAAATTTATGATTGAGTAGGTATTTATGAGTAAGCTATGTACGTAAACCAAATAATTTGCAAATCTAGAAAGTTAAATACGTAAATTGATTATTATACTCGTAGAATGAACATTTTATGGTTATGTATGTATTATATATAATGAATATCATAATTCTTACTATTCTGTATTACTACTATCATATTAATTAATAAAATCATTTATATAATTATGTGAAATATATTTTATACATTATATTTAAACTTAGCTGTAACTCACGATTTTATTGGAACTAAATCTATTGTTACGCCTGTAAATTACTGCTAGATATTAAATGTTTGACTCGAATACATCAGAACATTTTAACAAAAAATATTCTTGTTCTGGCTGATCCGTGTACCAAAATTTTTTCAAGCCTATACAAAAATTCTCTCAGCATGATTAAGTAATAATCATTCAAATACAAAATTTTCGTATTTATATTTATTATTAAGATTAGCAGTATGTTCAATTGTTCCACTTGGAGTACTAAACTTAATGAACGTAAACGATGTAATTCAATGAAAATAAAGATCAAAGACCTTGCGTTTTTTGATGTCGACTTTTCATACCATATTGATCCTATTTAGGATAAATATACAATATGATACACAACATGAGCTTAGTAATAAAATTATTAATACAATTTCTTAATTTTTTTATAACAGAAATATATTTATTTCTACAATAATAAGAGTATTTTGTTATTAATTGTAAATATATTTACTTGATCGAAAGTATCTATATTTCATTTAATAATTATTATAAAAGTAATTATTGTTTCGAGTTATTTAACGTTATTAGCGTAGGAACCAACTCCTTGTATTTCTGTCACAAGGAGCTATGTGTAACTGTTTGGAGTGAAGTGTATATTTATCAGACAGGCGCCATGCCCACGTGCAAAGTGTCGAGTAGTGGGCAGAGTCTACAATTTCAGAGGATATCCGAATTATGCCTTATTTACAAGCAAATCATGTCTATCTTACAAATATTAGCACTCAAATGTATTAAGTATACTAAGTTGATTTTGCAACCGAATTAAAAAACTGTTTCAATTCGTTTTTACGTTATACGATATTTGTACTAGTTATGAACTAACTATGAAGATTGTTTAAATAAACTATTGTTTATCTAATGAGAAGGTTCTTAATTTTTTTTTTGTCTTTGTGACGTAATATCTTCATCAACTCTGATTTATTTTGATTTTATTTTTTATTTTTAGCCTTTCTGCTACTTTCTACACGGTGTATTCAGTTATCAAGTTGTATATGATTAAAAATTCTATTTAATTTTATTACGGAAAATCTCTTCCAAAAAAATTTGTTGGTGGTAGAATAATCGCTTAGAAGGAAGGTAATATCGATTACAGTCTGCACATTTAATTTGTACTAAAGTAAATGTTTAATAGCATAATATTTAGTATAGCGTTTATTTAATGGTGAGTCTTACCATAGCAGGATCGTTGGGTTGAGTAAAATATGAAACTACTGTTCCAACGATAATGCACACAATCATTCCAACGAATGTGTAATACAGATAACTCAGTCGATACAAGAAGAATGTGCCGGACCTGGTAGTATCAAAATTATAATAAAGTAACAAAATATAATAGAAGTAGACGCTTTTTTATCAGTAACCAACATCTCGGTAAAAGGATGGCATTTACGATTCTGTACAACATATTAAATTTATATTATTAATGAAAGTCTTTAGCGAAAAATACTATTAAATACTACTCGGTTTTTCTTTAAGTTTATAATAGCACGAATCTTTTTTTTTTTTAATTTGGAAGATGAACAGGATTAAATCGTGTAGGCTACTATTTTAAACTAAACTTAAAAGCTACACTTTATGTCTTACCACAAAAGTGTCAGGTTATTTTTTTGCAATGGATTATATAAATAGATACTTTGAATAACATGAAATATAACAATACCGATCAAACTCCACACTGCTTAGATTTAGTGATGGTATAGAAGTAGTTATTTCAGTGACATTTTCCATGCAGCTAGAAACGGATACAGGCTTTGGTACAACCACAATGTCACCGCGAATCATAGCAGCTTGTGTTCCCAGGGAAATCCAACCAACAAGAAATGTTGACGTGATTCCACCAACCAGTGCACCCTACAATTGGAATATATTTATTAAGAACACTGACTGATACTAATTATTTTAACAATTATGAAATACAATTAAAAGTAAAAATAACAAACACAATAATTATTTATAACGGTTTCATTTACGTTTTAAATACTTCGTATTGATCATTCGTCTGCCGTTCGCAACACAGCCTGCGCTTATGAATAAGGGCTCATATTGAATTCGCATTTAAAACGTGGGTTAAACGGATATAAATAATTACAATATAGTATGACTCACGATAGTTTATTTATTTATTTTATTTAATATTTTATTGTATATACTACATACAGAAAAACATGACAGAGGTAATAAAATGAACAAAGGCGAATTTAACTCTAAAAGAGTTCTCTTCTAACAGACCCAAAGTGATATTATTCATACAATACTAGGTTTATTATCTGTGCCTACACCGTTTAGCGCATAGCGTAAAGATAGATATATACATTACAATATAATTATTAACAACATCTGTAGATATTATTCTGGAGTAATAGTAAAAAATTCGAATAATTATAAATAAAATAAACAAATATTAGCAAATAATAAATCGTGAATACATAGTGTTTAAATACTTATAATCAAATAAGACTTATTATTACCGTTGCATTGGTCCAAGGAAGAAAAAGGCCCATAGAAAATAAACCCAGGAGACTTCCAGCCGTAATACCTGCTAAGCTTTTACCAGCCTGAATAAGGGCTCCCATATGTTCCACTAAAAATACTAAAGCTACACAAGTAGCGCCTGTGAACGAGATAGGTAAGATAAGTACAAACACTTCATTTAAAAGATTTGTTAAAAAAATAAAAGAAATAGTCAGGTCATTGTATGACGTGCAAACGAACTAACCAATAATAACGACGATAATTTTCATAATGAAACTTGCTGTCCTTTCTGAAATTGGTTTGTTATATGCTGGTCTGATAAGGTCTTCGAATATTACACCACACATTGAGTTCAGTCCGGTAGACATGGAACTGAAATAAATGAAAATCAACAGCTTTATGCCCTGACTGCTATAATTTACTGAATTTGAACGTCGTATTCTCACCGGCATTATACCTCAGTGCGGCGCTAAAAACTCCACTCATGAATATGCCTGGCAGCGCTGGTATGGAGCCGGTTATGGTCATCACGAAGTAAGGTAATAATTGATCACTTTTTCTGATTGCTTTAGTCGTAAGAGGATCGCAGTCAGCAAACGTAGCGTAGATGACCAGGCCAGTGTAACAACATAATGAAACTATGATGAAGATACCAGCTGCCATTATAAAGATTGTTCTAAAATTCGATTTTATAATTTAGTATAATAGTAATATCTATTACATGTTAGAAAATATAAAACTCGTTATTAATATTCTAATTTAAAAAATTTAAATTTAAAATATTACATACATTCTGGCTCTTTTCAAAGATGATAATGCCAGGCATCGTTGCACCATAGCTTGGTTAACTGAACATGATGCTAGCCAACTAAAGTAATTTCCAAATACTGTTGACCAGAATGTGTGTCGTATAGTAGGATCAGGATCCATACTGAAATGTTATCAAAATTTATAAATACGTAAAACAAATTAAGAATTATAAATTAACTTGTTTATTTATTATTTTTAAAAGGTTATTACTTGAAAAAGTCGAGACGGTCTCCTTTTTTGTTTATGGCAATAACGTCAGCTACTCCACCGAGTCTCCATGTTCCATAGACCAAAACAAAAATCACCCCAAAATACATTAGTACAGTTTGCAGGGTATCTGTCCATACCACAGCTTTAAGGCCACCCTTGAACATTAATATCTTTACTTAATAAATGTAATGTGACGAAACTTTATTATTATGTAGGTACTCGTAGCAAGTTTAACAATGTCTGATTTGCTTGACCTCGATCTGTGATACAACTAAGACTGGCAGTTTATTTCATGCAGTGGGGAAAAATAGGGTCAATTTTATAACCATACAATGTTAAATAATACCTGTTACACTTTTAAAATATACTTACTAATGTTGTATAGAAAATGCACACAATACAGACGATGGGAGTAATTAAATGTAGATTGATACCAGTTACTGAAAATATTAAATTTGTTAGTATTAAACAAAAATGTATGCCTTTTTAAATTAATTAATACCTTTTTAAATTAATATTCAATACCTTGACTGAAAGCTAACGCAGGCACATAAATCACTATAGGTATGTATAGCATCATTTTTATGATAAAAATGATGGATCCTAGAAGTCGTACGTTTTGGTTAAATCTGAGTCGCAAGTACTGAAAAAAGATATTATTTTGTCACTTGGCTGCAAATGCAAAGATTAAAAAGTTACAATACAACATAATATAAAAGGACAATATTTTCAATCTATCTGTATATTGGGGTGGTTATTGTTAAATATTGACCAACGTTACCTCGTATGTCGAAGTAATTTGTAAGTTATAAAATACTGGTAAGTAAACAATGGCAATTGTTAGAGAGACTGCCCACTCTGACAGTACTATAGTCCACAGTTGTGTGCCATAAGTATACATTTCTGCTGGCAAACCAAGCAACGATATGCCCGAAATATAACTGAAAGTAAAATAAGATAAATAGCCATTGCTACAAAAATGTAAACTCGGAAATATATATCGTAGGGTGCTTTATTACCTATATAAAATTATGAATTACCTGGCGATCAGTGACATCGATATAGGGAACATGCCCATTGTCTTCCCGCCCATAAGGTATTCAGCGGTTGTATTCTGTTTCTTCGTCGCGAAGAATGCGAAGTAAACTCCTATGAGTGCAGATAAGAGTAGCATTGCTCCAAAGACAAGGTAATCCAGCCAGTCGAAATATACTACCGCCATAATGAATGTCTCGTGCACAGTGTTGAGTGAGGTCGCGCGTCCGTCCAGTCTGGCACTTAAACTCCATCTCCGAGTACAATGGGCATTTACTGAGCGGAACTGGCAGCTGGGACGTGGCTATATTTATCCTTAGAAGGATCTCGGACAGGCCCAATAGAAGTATGAGATCGGCTAATTTACTATTTACCGGTGTCATTCTGAATTTCATATTAGATACAAGCGAAATCATAAGAAACGCCGTAGATTCTAGATCTACAAGGCTGCTCATGATATTGCGTAGACTTCGTAGATTTACTACGAAGTTTTGACACCTACTTGATATAATATTTTTCTAGTAATAGTTATATAATATCATACTGCATTATGAAATACAGAATGTTTTATTTATTTTCCTGCCAGATTCTCTATCTTTATTCATAAATATAACTTTTGCTTCATCCAATATACAGTATATCCAAAGCATATATGTAGGTAGGTAAACTAAGTGGACGGCGCGCTCGTTTCGTGCATCTCAGTAATGCTAGAGCATCTTAATTTCAGGCAGCAGTAAATGTCTAATTTACATAAGAAAAATGAATATTTAAGCGAATGTGAATTGTGGAGTATTTAAATAATTATAACAAATGAACCGCAAACTGAATTATTCGGATTAGATTTTTTTTTATAGTCGGGAATCAAATCGGTTGATTTTCAGAAAAGAAAATCAACAAATTTGTACCATGAAAGGGGTAAATTATTATATAATAATTTTAAAATTTTTCTTAGAATTACTTGAATCACAATTGCAAGAGGCACGAGATGAACGAAATGAATGGGGACGATTAGAACGAATGCGCAGATTCATAATTAACAGATGTAGAGCAATTGTTGATCAATCTGTTAAAATCCACCAGAGGGAAACTTTGTACACAAGTCGATTGCTTGGGTACCTCTGTCCTATGTGTTTCAACCTTGAAGCAGTTGTGATTGCATGGCTGTGTTTCGGTTTGAAGGGTGGGATATGGCGTGAATTTACTGGATACAGAGGAATAACACCTGAGTCCTCAGGAATGGCAACGCATGGGGGGTATCATGGGCGAAACAGTATATTCTGTTATGTCTATAGGCGACGGTTACCACTTTCTATCAGGTGGGCCGCCAGTTTGTTTGCCATTCAAAGTTGAATGAAAAAAAAACAATGTCAACAAAAACTTCGAGCATTTACATCAGATTCATTCCTTCCACTAGAATTCTGGTATAAGCCTAATGTTGAATAAGCATAATTCATACCGAAGTGGTCATTGGTACTTTGGACAAGGAATACTCGCATTGTCATGCACTTAAATTTAAAAATGAGCCAGTCGGAATGTATTGCTCAGCAAGAAAAGTGCAACTAACGGAAATTGAAATACCACCTGAACCATTGCCCGGCTTGCTTATCGGTACAGATCCAGATTCTATCCTGTTCCTAAAGTCAATTTGCACATTCAATTCATGTTTTCAATTACATCTTTCAGCAGAAATAAATCAAAATATTTATAAAAAATATAAATATATATAAATAAAAAAAAATAATTCCATGTTTAAAATCAAAGGCCAAGTTTATCACAAAGTGGACTCATTGCTGCCAATGCCAAGTGAATCTCATAATTAAAAAAAAAATACTTTATAGGTGGCGAGAAATCCAAATGCACACTTGCCAATTGCGTGGCTTAAATAAAGTGTATTTTAATTGTCTACAAAGCTTCATTCCTCTTTTAATTAATATTACACCCCCACACACTTATACTGTTAGCTATTGTTTATTGAATTAAAAAAATATTTTCTAGAAATAATGTATATGGGAAAACAACATTTGCCGAGTCAGCTAGTTATTATATAATAACTTTAAAATTTTTCTTAGAGTTAGTATGAACCAAGTGTATTCACGTGAAATATAAGAACTTATATCTGCAAATAAGTATTCACGTACGTGACATGGAAAATTTTTAAAGAAGCGGAAAATGCTAATACATATGTATTAGTATTTTATATCGTTTTAAAATATTTTGATTCTTTTATTTTTAATACTGCACATTAATCAGCGTCTTTACTGTATGTTGTTGTAAATAAACAATACCACGAGAGTACGTTCCTTATTTTAATATATTATAATATCCATAGTCTACCTATTTATAATCAGAAATTTAACCATGGAAAATGGAAAAATAAAACTAAATATTTGTTTAAACATTATAATTATGTTAATAAATATTACATCTGGCTTAAACATTAATAACAGATAATACAATTACGAAGCCCTACACATTTATGACATTGAATATTAGCAAGTGCATAACCTGTATTTAATGATATGAAAGGATTATTAACAAGAAAATATCCATTTAAAAGTATTAAAGAATATATTAATATTTTTTACCATATTTATTGATACACAAACGACATTATTCGAAATTTTTCTATGTCAACTTTATTTTGAAAGATGCAAAATATAAAACGGACGGTTGAAGCAAGAGCTCCACATTTTTATGTGAGCATACAAACTATTATTTGTAAAGTGTTATAACAGCGAAATTAACTAAATATTGTTTTGTTACTGTATAAATAAATACATTTAAATTATTTATACTATAATATAAAATTCCATAGAAACGTTTGACTTCCCGGATTAAAAATTATGTTGATATATAAGACACTTATGTATATAATATTTATTTAATGTAAAAATAAATATTGAACTCTATTTTTTTATAACAGGTACTGGACTCCGCAAAAATAGATATTTAATAACACTTTTATTATAATAGTGTATAGTGCCTCTTATATACATCATAGAACGAATTTTTATATTTTTATTTTAATAAATTTTACAGACATCCGAGTACATATATAATTGTATCTCAATAAGTACATATATACATATAAAAAAAGAATGTAGCTTACCTTACATTGAATTTCCACCAAACATACATCATGTAATATATATTATACCTATTATATGAATATATGCAAAAAACAATATTTGGTAATAATAGTTGCTTCCAAAATACATGGCACAAAAACAACATTTTTGGGAAAACATATTTTGGATGAAACAGAGTTTGCATTTCTTTTAGGTACCTATATAGAATATTATAATAGAAATAGTATTATAAGAGAATCAGAGAAGTCCATACATATGTGTTTAGTAGTTTCTAGATAACTAGTACCACTATTATTGCTAGTGGGCTATTGAAGCATCGGCGACAAGAGGATTACAATAGGTACCTAGCGCATCTGTCGAAATCAGGCTATTGTGCTGGTGACCCTACACTCCGTCCGAAGTACAAAATTAAGTAACTGAATGAAAAAAATATTCGGGGATATAATAAAATATTTCATGTAATGGCAGTGAGCATGGTCTTTGTTGATAATAGTAAATAGTAGAAAGAATAGTTAAGACCTTTTTTGTTAACGTTAGTGTTGGTGATATTGCTATGCAATCAGAACTGAATTATGTTTAAGCCAGAAATTCTAACTTTGAAAGAGAAATGCAGACCAGTGAAAGCAGAAGTTATTAATAAAGCAATTTCAAATATTTTTTTATTATATAAAAAGACCCAGCTCCCTGAGCTCAGTACATTCAAAGGAATCATTTCAACCTTTTCGTACACCACAAGACCGTGGACCGATATGAACGATACACATGGAGAATAATAAAATTTCTACATACAATTTAAATTTTAAAGACCATCTAAGAAGTCAATTAATTTATCTAATTTAGAATTTGAAATCTACTATTGAAATAAAATTGAAAAAACGGTAACTACACATATACCTCTTTAAGAAGCCTACTTGAACAACAACAATTTACGTCGCTCTCTATGCATGTAGCATAGAAGTAATTAACTTGCACAAAATTAAGAGATAACTTATGCTACTCTCTAAGTTATTAAGAGTAATTAATTTACAAAGACTGTTGTCTCTGTTTTAAGCTAAAGTATAGATTTTTATCTGATAATTTCGCATAAGAATGACTTTCTTAACCAACACAGATCTTACAATTAAACATTCATAAAGGTTATGGACTATCCAGTTTTTTACCACTTTCGCGGATGCCATTTCAGCCCTCTTCACGTCTTTCTGTAGTTCAGAGGTATTTGATTTTTTTAGTTGAATTTTAAAATCGATCATTTATATCATGGAAGCTTTACATGTTTATACATCGGCAGGGGAACATAAGTCCATTCTAGATCGCCTGCGGTCCCTAGCAACAGACAGTTGTCCTGACGAAGACCTTTGTAATGAAGCGGACCTCGGTCGGGCCGTGTCCGACTTAGACTTTTTCACCTTGCTGCCACCACTGGCAGGTTGTTTTCCTTTTAATGATGATACTGATATCACTACATCTGTTGATACTCCATCTTGTTCTAAAAATGCAATGATATGGTCAAAAGCTGCAAACTATATTTCAATTATTATAAATATTAACATAGTATAAGTAATACTAGATATTACTAAACATTAATACGATGTTATTGTATACTAGGTTCTTATATCAGTTAGTAAGTATTAAACTTGATGTTTACCTGTACGTTTGATGACTTCTCCAGCATTGTTCAAAAAGAATTTTGGTTTCGTATCCTTAAGTGATTCCTGTACAAAAATGTACAATTTCGAATGAATTAAAATAGTATATAATAATGACTAAAATATTTGACAAATAAACATACCTTTGATTTACTAGATTTGGAAGCAGAGTCAGTGCTTCCGCGCCACCACGGTCACTGAATCTCACAGAAGGCTCTCCCGGATTCTTTTCCGGGTGTGGATGCTTCACCTTCTGCTGCATTATCACCTTCCGGTTTCGGTGATCCAGTTCCCGATGTCATGGCACCGCTGTATAAATAGGGAGATGAATATGAATTAGGAAGATATTAACACGATTCGTTTTATTTTAGAAAGATTACATTTGCATTGTAGGTTTTCTAAAAGGTAGTAAACTATATTAAATAAAAAAGATAGCTTTGTAATTATACTTAAAGGTGTTGCATCCGTAAGTAATCTTTAGCTTAGTTGGAATATATATTCTGCTTATTAATTATTGACAGTTTTACTTGTGGGGTAATTTTATGTATTGGCATTTTTACTTTTTTTTGCTGTATGGTCCCGACTTAGAAAGAGTCACCTCATTTTTCCCGTGGGTGTCGTTAAAAGAAACAAAGGGAATTTAATGATCGAGGGATGGACAGCAGCGTGCCTCTTAATACATCACCAAAGCCAAACTTGTAGCTCGTCTGCCAAGCAATGCAACTACTGATAAAATCCCTCTTTATAGGGGAGATCTATGTTCAGCAGTAGACAAATAATGGCTAATATGATGATGATGATGATGATGATTTTTATTTTTGTAAAATCAGTGATGGTAGATAGATTCACGGAAAGTTTGGTTGCAGAATGTGTCATAGTAACAGGGTTGTCTCATGAAAAGTGCATGTAAATTTGGGGATGAATTTTTAATCGGTGGAAGATTTAAACTTTAAGCCTGGCTACATCGTTTTGTATGATGCCAGTGTGATTAGGATGGATGTGAGCCTACTATAAGGTAAATAGGCTATTAATTTGTTTACATTAGTATAAAATATCAGCATTTATATATTTTTAAAAGCTTGCTCGAGTCTAAAAGAAAATATGATGGGTGTTAAGGATAAAGACAAACCTTATAAACATTGGATTTTTCCTTAACGAAAATCTGTGAAATTGTGTTGTTGTACATAGCAATATTGCACAACACGAAGTTTAATATTTTCGTCGATTTAATTACAAGCATATGCTTGTAATTTGTTATATATTTTTTTAATATTCGTAGAGTAAGGTATTGTTGTAAATACTAACGTCATGTCCACTCGGACTGTGTTGCTATTGTTCTGCTGGTTGCGCATAGCAAGCGTGGACACCATCGGAGGTCGCTGTGGCTTGTTCGCCAACAGCTTTTCAATCTCCACCATGACGGACGGTGTTAGTTGCGGCACAATCTGTAAATTATATTTATGCAGGTAGGATAATAACTACTAACAAAAATAAATCATATCGGTACGGAAACACTGCTACTCGAAGTTGATTCCAAAGTATGGTTCAACGTGGAAGAAAGTGAGTTTAAAAACATACAGTGTACGGGATTTGTGTATTATCCCGAACCCTATTTCTTAAGGGACTATTCTTGCCTTGTGTGACACCAGCATTCACAGGTTTTAAAACTGATCACATTTCGTTGACTATAACCTTGATGCTTCGTTCTCTGAGAATACTGGCGACTACACTGCACAATCTCGCAGGTAATTCAAATAAAAGTAGTTTTAAAAGCAGTATTTTATCCTCGATCGAAGACCTTTGCAATATCCAAACAAACAGTTAGGGCCTCTCCCTTACTCTCGATTTTTACTACCCATCGGTGTGTCAAGTAAATTAAAAGATCATCGATCGAGCGTCTGTGACGAAAGCCTAAGCCTAGAATACTGGTAATCGCAAAATATGACATTCTTACCGGTTAATCGGTAAGTACCTGAACAGTTAAAAGTTGATGATTGTCTCTATAACTTTCATAAACAAAAAAGCTAAAAAAAACTATTGGCCTAGAGTTAGCTGGATCTGAGCGATTTCCCTATTTAGGTATCGGGTGTATCAAAACAGTTTCCCAAAACTTTGGAACGACATCTAATGAGTAATTAAATAATTAATGGGGCACAGATGGTTTACTCGACCTGTGGATACCAAGAGAAAAAGCGCTCTATGGGCTGAGCTTTATGTGAATTTAATGACAAGTATACAGCTCTCACAATGCAGGACAGTCGGCGATGGTTTCTTTCGATCAATCAACGTTGAGTTAGATACAAAGAGGAAACCAAGAAGATCGGCATTTTTTTAAATGTTCAAAGCTATGGTGAAAGAGATGACAAAGATTCTCTTGCGTAGCTTTAGCAAGAGATCCTCAAAACTCAAGATTCCAAAGTTAGAATAACCAATCTCTTGCCATTTCTACACTTTGGTTTTGCTGTGACTATAACTCTTTTGAAGGACGGAAAGACAGAGTTGTACTTTTTTCAAGCGCAATCAGTTGTACGCGAGCCGAGATAAACTATGGTAAGAATTAAAGCCGCCAAGAATCCCAACTTTAGCGGAGGGAATCTCTTCAAGGAGGCAATCAGTAGCCATTTGGATGTGCTCAATGAGTTAGTTTTAGTGTTCCAGATATGGTAGATCTGTGTAGAACTTATATTTAAATTTGAGTAACAAACATCGTCTAGTTGTATGTATTTATAATATTAGTGGAATAATAATTATGATACGATAATATTTAGATATGGATGGATTTTACAACTATTTACTATGATGATAATATGTAGTACCAATATATAAATAAATATATGTATATATATATTATAGGCACCTGTAAAGCGTGAATATTTTCTTTGAATTGCTCAACGCTGCTGGCACCTAACAGTAGACAATTGACGGATTCGTTCTTTAGACACCATGCCACTGCCAGTTGACTCATGGAGCAATCTAGGATTAAAATATTAGACGTTATTTGGACTTGAAAATATTTACAAAGTTTTTTCGTAATAAATAGTTATTTCAATTAGGTTACATGTAGTTTACAAACGCACTGAGTGAGTTTGCGAGGTTCGAGAGATCGCGAAGTTTGTCTCCATATGTCCGATGCTCCTCTCCAGTAACTTGCTCTTTGCTTCCTGAACTCCGCATCTGTGTTTATACAATTCATAAGTATATTACAATCTACTATTCTATCTCAATATTTACTAAATGCCAATCTAAGTGATAGAAAAAAGTATAAAAGATTTTCATATGAAATAAAACGTGGAAAAAATAATAGTATCAATGAAAAGTAAAAATAAAAATATACACTAAATAAACAAATAAAAAAGTATTAAAAGGAAATTTTACTTCAGGTACGGCTAGATCTTCCTCACACCAACTAAATGTGCTATATTTTCTGTTGAAGCGAGACTTGGCGAAGAGACCAGTGATCTCCTCACGGCCTAGTCCTTTGCCTGTGGTTATGGCTGACCACGCCATTGTTCCTGGTATACAATTAATACCTATAAAAGTGTTACGTATACAGAAATTAAATACAATAAGTAATTTATATTTTTACAATACTCACCAACTCCGATTTTGTGATATAATTCTGGCATGTACAATTCGGGTTTCTCTCTGCAAAACATGTGGTATTCTGTCTGTTCTACTATTGGAGTAATGCAATTAAATTGTCGACAGTTAGTATATGCATCCATTATCTGAAAAAATCGAATTACGAATTACATATTTGATTCTATTTAATGGAAATTATTTAAAACTTTTGAAAACGTTTTACCTCTGAAGGCGACCAACGCGCTGTACCCCAATACATGACCCATCCTTGGTTAATAACAAAATTCATGGCCCGAACAAGCTCTGTTGAAAAATTATTCTTGAGTAATATATAATATATGTACATGTACGTAAAGTGAAATATCTTCATATATTTGTTTATTACAATTAAAATTATATTATAGTTATTTTATGGATACAAACCTTCCATTGGGCAAACAGGATCAACTTTGTGCAAAAGTACAACGTCAATGTATTCCACCTGAAGTCTCGCTAGTGATGCCTTAACACTTTCGACTATGTGCTTACGAGATAAACCTCTTTCATCTGACCTGTTATTAGTAAACCTAGTAAATGGAGAGTTCAATATGTATTATAATTATGCAGCAAAAAGCATTAAACACAAGCTTAAGTGTTATTTTAAAAAATAGCGAAGTGTCTAAGAGCGAATAGCATTAAACTCATCTTAGTACGGAAAACGCTAACGGTTTCAGTTTCAGTCCATGGTCGCTACGTTATAAATGTAATGAGATATTAGGCTAGTAATATTTAATGATATAGTATTATATAAATGAATGAAGAGTAGCAAATGGTAAAAGAAAAAAAAAATTGTTATTTCTCACTTAAATAAAAAAAATAATTATTTGAGCTCTTAAAGACATTTCAATAGATTTAAAAACCTTACAAATTCTCATTACATTTTAAGATAAATAAACTTTACGTCGGTTACATTTTGAGATAGAGCTAAATATTAAATTATTAAAATAGAAACTAGTTATCTATTAATACAGAAAAACTTATTTTTATATTTATCTATATTTGATAAAATGTGTCTCAAATAATAAGGTTTATGATTAAGCATGTGATATTGAATTATTTCATATTAGATTATAATTACTTACTTGGTGCTCCAATAAATTTTAGTAGTGATAATGATGCTGGTTCTCCTAACATTTCTCTTTTTGAGGATTCGGCCAAGTTCGGCTTCACCTTTTGCTGTAATTTTTTTTTAAATTAAAGGCAATCAAAACTAGGTACCTTCAACAATAGGATATTAGTAATTTACTAACCGCAATGTGCTTCGGATAAATCGAACAAATTAATCCCATTTTCTAAAGCAGTCATAACGACGTCTTCGGAGCAATCCTCATTGAGCATAGTCCAAATACCTAGGCCAATGTTAGGTACCCGGAGACCAGATTTACCAAGGTTTTTGTAACGCAGACCAGGAGTGACTACAGAAGGCATGGCTGTGTGATTTCCGATATATGTTGACATATGTCTAGACATGTTCATTTCACCTGCTGCAGAGAAGTCATTGTATTAATCCTATTAGCACACTAAGATTTTTAGGTTTTGTTAATTAATAAAATGTAGTCACGCAAAAAGAAATAATGAATATTATTGTACAAGGAACTGTATTATTGTACCTTATAAAATATAAAACAGATGTAGTTTAGCTGTTTGTTTGAGCATGTGTTACAATGTAAATCGATAATAAGATAATGAGAAGATTATGTAAATATTTGCAAATAATTTATATTATGTGTAAGGAGGTGGTTTAGAAAGAGTGGTAGATTATATCCAGTTGTTGTTATTAAGAGTTCCAAAGGAGTTACTACTATTAATGTACTGTATATACAGGACAGTGCAATATTAACTTAAGTTTTTTCTATAATGTAAATTATGTTTTGTAAATTCTGTTTTGTCTTTTTCTTTTGTGCTCAATTCCCAATTTAATAACAACTAACAAGACACTGTAACAATTAAAATTGGTTTGTGGAAGGTTTTAATTTTTATGAATAAGACGTGAAAGTTTACCAGTAGGAGACTTTGTATAAAAGTCGTTTACTTGAGTACTTCTATCGCATTCGTATAATTCCGTGAAGCAGTTGTTTTTGTATGGCTGTTTGTCAGTTTGAAGAGTGGGATATGGCAGTGAAATTACAGGGGACAGTGACATAACACCTTAGCCTTTAGGAATAGCATCGCATGATATTGTATATGTAGAAGGAGCATGCAACGGTTACTACTTTCGATCAGGTGTCAGATATTAGTCGGTTATAAAGAAAAAAACAAAAAAAAAAAGACTAAATACTTCAATAACTAAAATAGTCATGAAATATTTTACGTTTTTATGAATAAAAGAGTTAGGTTTAATTTACAAATTTGATCAACCAATCTAAACATTAGATTAGATTGCAAATGAATCATCAATTAAGTACAGAATTTTGGAATATATCGTATAATATATTATAACAGAAGGTCCTGCCGTTTAGATGCTTCATGAGATCAATTGAAATTGTCATATTACAGAATAATTATAAATACATGTTACATAATAAATGAGTAAATTTGTAAACAATCACATTGTAAGCTCTGAATATAAACATAAAGTACTTTTTGTACTAACCAAGGCGAGTGAAGTCCCGTGATGCGGCTAGTTCTTTAAATATTTTGTATCATTTTTAATTTCCGACTAACAAATGTTTAATAATCAACGTCTGAGCACTTTTTGACGAAATAACTCTGTATAATGAACTACTGTTTGTCATTACGATAATTATTAGCAGATAACGAGGAGAAAAATGTAAAACTATGCCTATATATTTCAAGGTCAAGTAGGAATGAAGCGCCTTAAACATGGTCTTTGAGCACTACTGTACTGATTAAAGGAATTAAATTTTTGCAAACGCTTAGAGCAGAAAACAGTATTATTATTGAATTGGCGGGACTTCTACCTATTCCTTACTCTTATGGTACAATCTCGAATGGTAACGATTGAAGTAATTTAATTAAAATTTTACTTACCTTGATCCAACATTTGCTGTGAGTTTGCACTGAAATCATCCATGCAATCCAGGGAAGCGATTGGGGCGCGACATCTGAACAACAAAAACAGTCCATATTCTCATAAAACATATTTTGTATCAGTAAAATAACTTAGAAAATACTTTGTGAAGTGTCGTTAAAATAATATTAATTTATTTGTGTTACATATTTTTAAGTTTTAATGATCAAAAATTAACAATTATAAATCTTATTAAACTTTGGACGATACAATATTCGAGATTTAGATTGTAGGCTAATAGCTAAGAGTATCAATAACGTCGTTATTTAATAATAATACAATATTACATTTTTGAAACTTTATGAAACTCTTAATTGTGTAAATTGTGTTGTTGTCATTTGTTTATCTAATACCATTATTTTCCTAAAACTTTAAAGTGTTTATGTGTGCATGAAATAGATATAAATTACATATATAAGTATTATTTAATGTAATGTAAAGTGTATAATATATTAAATGTATAATTATATATTCACTACCTATACTATAGCTACAATAAGTTACGACTCCGCTAATAAAACAAAGCTACGTAATTAATGATTTTTTGCTAGTTCTATGATGTTAAAAGCTATAAATCTAGATGGACTAAAATAATCTGCCAACTATTTTCTTATATGTACTGGATAATAGTATGATATGTCTAATCCTATATCTAATATGAAACTAATTGGAATTTATGTATATGAATCAAAAAAGCAATTTAACAAAATAATGTTTTTAGTGGTTAAATGTTCATCTACATGTATTGGTTTTATTGACGCGCCATAATGATGGAAGATGGCCAATAATAATATACGTGGTTATAATAATTACTAATATTAATCATCATTCAAGTAATTTACTTTAGATTTGTAAGCGTCAAGTGATCACTATATGGAAGCTTGCAAGATATAGGTAAAACAAGGAAGGCCATGAGACAGTGTTTGGTGCTAAAGCAGTAAAGACAATTACAGAGGATTCACCGTACCTGTGCTTCGCCTGTGGAATCTCCCGACGAATCTGCATGAGGTAAGCCAAGCGCTTGGAATACTATTTCCGTCTGTATTATAAGCAACTGTGCAGTCACAGTACTTTAATAAAAAAAAAAAATGCATTTATTATATTGTTATTAAGTATTAATAACGAACTGTATTTCTACTATTTAACAGTTGCTTATAAAAGTTCGGCTTGTTGTGGTACCTATTCGCATGCGACGATCGCGGTGCGCGATGCGGGCGTAGTGTGCTCTCACTTTTATTTACCACCAAGAGAAGACGTAACATTTTGATAAAAACTATTCAGTACGGTAATCCCTTATTCTGTAAATGGATACGTTACAATACAATTGATTGTCATAATATAATAATAATAATATGAAGTTAAATATTTGGCTTTGATTATGATGAGAGGTGCATGTAAAGATAGGTAATAAATTATCAATAGTTTTACAGAGTGTGTTAATACATACATAAACATTTGCAGCGTTTCATAACATGCTTTATATATGTTGGCCGTTAATTAATAGCCAACATGTTATAATTGTAATAAAAAACGAGAGCAAATTATTTAGTATTGATACGTCTTCTCCCTTTAGGCTGTCCTCAAGGGTCCAGTTACCGATATATAGTGGGCATGGGGTTGGAGTCGACGCTGGCACTGTCGGGCGGTCCGAGGGGCGTGTGTGGAGTGCATCGGCTGATGGTGGACTCGCTGCGCGACATCTGCGAGCCCTCCTTGCCGCCGCCGCCCTCCGCCTTACACTGCATGTCGTGCCGCCTCATTCCGCTCCTATGCTTAGCAACGGCATCTTATCTCCCTACAAACATCTTATCTGTAATGAAACGTTCACAGGTCTCCATACGCCAACCCCCGAGCCGAATACTGAGAAAGGACACGGGCGGGTTTAGTTTCATAACACTCAAGGATAGTAAGGTAAACATAGAGAAGCATGCATGCCCTAACGCTAACATCTAGTCCGCTAAGGGTTACGAAATCGAGTGATTCACACTGTAACATCTAAGCACTGGACTATAGTCACGAGTAAAATCAACGAATATGTTAAATAGTCGTGTAGTAAACACATAAGAGACATCGATATGTGACCATTCGGGAATCACTCACCGGGATCGGTGTGATTTTCTATGTACTCAACATTTGGAAGGTTGTGGTGCAACGGTGGACTGTAAACTGCGAAGTTAGTGAACTGTATTGCGGTTTTATGAGGCGCGCGGCGCTGCCGGTGTGCGCGGTGGCGAATGAGGCGCGCGACGCGGTGCCGTTGGCCCACCGTCTACAGCACATGCGCCATTCACCCCATACCGATCTGACCTATTTCTAGATACAGCCCCAGGTCATGGAATTCGAACCTACTTTATGTAGATGCAGTTTATACTCGAGGTAGTAAGACTGACATTATATGTTATCATAACTTACAGCTCGTATTAGTTGGGAATAAATATAATGAATACTTAATGCATTTAGTAACTACATAGGTATATTGAAGCAATAGAAATAAGTTTGAGTAGCAAAAAACATGAATTAGTAATTAACGGTGTTTTTCGTGACATACATGTTATTTAATATTGGTTTTAAAATGTTGTAGTAATATTTTTTGAGAGTAAGTACTCGTATATTGGGATTTAAAATTTAATCAATATGCAGCTGCGCTTGTTATAACGTCAGAACGCAGCCATCGACTAAGCAAGGCTTAAATTTATTATTTTTTACTGTCGTGTCTAGAGAAACCAGCGATGATATTTGATGGTGAGTTAGGTACCTAAACCTCAATTTTTATTATAATCAATCAGTTTTGGAAAAACATTGCTTTAAAATCCGAATATATCATACTTGTATTATGCACAGACTACACTATCCTACTATTATACTCGTATGACATCATTAAAAAAATATTATCCTCATGTTTCAAAAGTAGAGTAAAAACATAATAATGTGTTTGAATTTTATAAAAGCCAGAAATGAAATATTTTCTATCTCCTCAACCTAAATTATTGCATATTACACTAAAATCTCATTAAAGTATTATAAACGTAGATTTAATTTTTGGAAATTTTTAGTTTCATTTTGTTCGCGTGTTTTATGAAGTAATAGGTAGTATTGTATAATATGTAATTATTGTAATGATAAATTATTATTTTGGAAGTAGGTATCTATTATAAATTAAAATTATATAAATATATTTACTTTCGGTTTAAATTGAATTGTTAACGATATTTTTGTACACCGGAAAGTTAGGCCGGTTTTTGTTTAATACAATGTTTTTGGTATTGATCTTGACGCATTGTGTAATTAATTATGTTGTATAAGTATATTAATTTACCCTAAAAATAATATGGCAGTCTTACCCAGGACACGAGGGAGCTCGCACAAGGTCTATGCGTCGTCGAGGATTAACGTCACTAGCTGACGCCCGCCAGGCTCTAGCTTCCGTGCCCGTGGTATACCCATGATTTTCGCAGCACCCATCGCTATCTAGAGACTCATCTGTTGATACGGTTGTATTTGTATTATTTGTTACATTTATATAAATTGTTATAGTTTAGTTACTTTACACTTTTTATATTTCTTATGGACATCGGCCTCTTAAAAAAAGTCGCATGTGAACTCTAATTTTGCGAAGCTTAACTCGTTTTCTAATTTAATTTATACGGTTACCACCATACTGTTATGTTTATTTCGTCAGAATTGAAATCGTTGTTTTTATAAAGATTTTAACAAAGTTGGTTTAAAGAAACAGTGATCTCAATAATCTTAATACTAGATAAAAATTCAAACTAGATGTTCCGAAGTATCGTTAAGAAAGGCAATGGGCATTGAATATTATAATAAGATATATCAAAGGATATTTTTGATCTATCTTTTAATAAATTTAAAACTATTATTGAAAAACACTTATTGAACAAACACACTAAACGATTACTTGAATAACAAATGTGCATGGTGTTAGTCGATCATGCACGAGCTAATGACCATATAATTTAAGACGTCATCATTATATCACTCGTTATCTGCCCAGTGCCTCCCCCATAGACTGCTATGAGGAACCATCGTGAGGCACCTGCATCCACTGACTCTCTGCAATGCATTTCAGATCGTCACTCCATCTAGTGAGGGGTCGTCCTACACTGCGTTTGCCCGTACGGTGTAGCCACTCAATAACCTTTCCTCTCCATCGGTTGTCGGTTCTTCGAGCTAGGCAACATTGATGATTATCTTGGTTAATGACCCTCGTTTTCAAACTTTTGAATGAGACGTTTTCGCGTAGTTTTCAGAATGCTGTCCAGCCGAATTAGATTCAACGTCGAAGTTGGACTTACCTAGTCGGATAAGTTGTACCAGGTATACATCTTTGAGCATAGTGTTCTCAATAATAACCGATAAAGGATGGACATCGATATTAGGCATGATTTTTAGTTATTCATCATGTTCATCTCAAGACCTACCTGTTTAGAAACACTATTGAAGTTATTGAGCATAGTAACCAAGTTGATCCAAGGGATTAAAAACATCTTCCAATGTAATTGTGCAGAGGTTTGGGGATATGACGTCATCCCGTCTTACATTATTCAGGACTAAGATGGGTTTCGTTCTCTGGTGCTGTACTCTAATAAACATCGTAGCCTTGCTGTATATACATTTTAACATTTCGATATACCTATAGTCATTCTGGCACTGCTAGAGTAACTGTAATACTACCCATATTTCGATGAAATCAAAGATATTTTCATAGTTCACAACGCCAGACATAGTGGCAGATTATACTCTTTGATCGTTAATGCTAAAGCCTTTTCGGAAGCTAGCTTATTCAGATAACAAATTAGAAGGGATATCGGTCTATAGTTCTTCAATAGGGTATTGTCACCCTTGTTGAATGAGAGGACTACCGCATTTCTACTCCACGCGTTAGGCGTAACACCGTCATGTATGACAAAATTAAATTGACTCTAAAGAACTACAAGTACCGGTTTTCGACCCGCTCTCAGAAGCTGTGCTGTTCGGCTTCCTTTGTGTGTTACCGTATTACTGTTTGAGAGTCATTAGTCATTAGTCACGACAATATCTTTAGGATGATTCTTTACTCACTACAGTGCCAAAGTTGTTTATTTCGGAATAGATGCTATGATGTTAGAATAGATACAAAAACAAATATTACCTCGGCACGGCCCTAATCGAGATAGGTTGATAAAGATGCCTTCGCTCTCACTGATGCTTTGGCTTGATTGTGGCTTCGCAAACTGGGCACTGCATGCTTTTTTCAGTACGTTCTATTAATAAAATAATAATTTAATAAAAATATTGGTATACTATAACGAATAGGGAACTGAGTTAGGTGTTATCTTGCAAAAGTCCATATCACTAATTATTCAATTAGTATTATTTTGTTTAATTCTACTACCATTAGTATGTTTGTGACTGCCAATACTCAAAGACTGACTACTATTCTTATATTAATAAGAATAGTAATAATATTAATATAAAAGGGCTAATATAGAAGGTTGTAGAACTTCTATTAAGATGTTCTACAATCATTTATATAAGCTATCAATCTCCGACTGCCATTTCATCCAAGGACGTTTTTCGGCCCGTGTTTCACCTCTAAACAAGGCATCTTCAGGTACATTAATACATCGCTGCTCGGCGTACTCAAACTGCCAATGACTAATTTTCGGCCATGTTGATCTATTACTTTACATGAGTGTTGGGAGTAGTACACATACTATTGGTAGTGAAATTAAACAAAATAATTGTAATTAAATATATAGTGAATAGAGAAATACATTTTAGTTTGGACCGAACATTATGTCATTTTCTTTTTTAACATCGTTGAATGCCACTAAATTAGATTACATGGTTGTTATCTCGTTTTATATAATTATATATAAAAATATATATAAATTGTAATCCTTTATAACACTTGCCATAATTTTATCATATTTACCATATCAACGCACATATAACACTCCTGGTGATACAGGCATCCATTGGCTAATTGTCTTCGTGTAACAATATAAAAATATAATATGAACTTTGGGTTCCACAATATATTTAATAAAAAATATACCTAAATCTTTATCAATACAATATTATAATTATGATACACACATACATATATACATGTACATATATGTCTATTAGGTAGCTATAATTTCAATTCACCGCGTTATATACTCAGGTGAAATTAATTACTTTATTAATTAAGTTATCATCGCACCCTATAATGTTTCGTAGTGTCTGGTATCGATGGGCGACTATGGCGCCACCTGGCAGCTTGCCGCTGTAGGTCACTGAGTCGATGATGTGACCATGATGTATTCATGCCACGAAGCTCTTCCACTGCCTCCGCTATCTATAATTTTCAAAGTAAAGCTGCTACACAGAAAACAGACGCTTTTGTAGGGGATCACTGTAAGGGAATAGGTATCTTTTCGAATATGTACATTATCTAGTTTTTAAAGATAAAATCTCTAAAAGGCACTACGACAGTTATGACAGTGGCACCTATAGCGATGTTATTTACAGTTTGGCATTTCATAATGTAATGAAATTTCAAATGTTTCCTGATCTTATGTAATTTGAAGACATTTTTACTGTCTTTCTGGTCATTTAATTGGGCCATAATTTTATTAAAAAGCAGTACACTATAGTCACCTCTCTTTTCTGTTCCTCTTCGGCTTCGATTGCTCGTTGGTGTAATAGCTCTAAATCTAATTTTCTAACTTCTTCAGCTTCTCTCGCCTGAACCTCCTTTTCCTAAAAACAAAATTATAACAAATTTATAAACTGTTTCTTCTTGATTTATCATTTTAATTAGCGGTTAGTAATTGAGGTAACAACACAGTACGCAGTAGCTATCCAAAGTAAACACATCACTTGAGACAAGTTTTTGCCTGCCTTTAAATCGTATTAGTGTACTACATATTGTGATGTTACCTCAACTACCACAAGCGTAAAAAAGTTCCTATGTGTTTAAATAGGAAATGGTTCGTCTGGAAATTAAATGTAAAATAACCTACCACTTTTTTAATAAGTATAAGGACTATGAAAAATATTTTTGTATACTGTGATAATAGTAAGATATACATATTGTTATAAAGGGCCAAAGAATATCAGTAAAAGAATAATAAAGAGTATGATAAAAAAATACTGTGGTAATTTATAAATATCCTTCATTTTATAGTAACTACTAGTTTTTACCTTCGAGTTCGTCAGCATGACTAACATAAATATGATTAACTGGGATAAAAAGACAAGTAAACAAACAGACAAATTAACATTTACATTTATAATAGATACACATTAGCAAGGATATAAAAAGAAGAAATTCTTAAATGAAAGGAAGAAGATATAAACAACATATCAGGTCACTCAGAAAGTATTGCGAGAAAAAGTTTTTATGTATGTGAGACTGGCCAGTTATGATTTATTTAAAAATATTATTACTTATAAGTAAAAATAGGTACGTTCTAAATTCAAAACTTCCCTCCACATTTTTTGCGAGCTAATTAAAATTAGTAGTCTCATTGAAAAATGGATATGCGTCGAGAACATTTTCGCACTATAATTTTTTACGATTTTAAGTGTCGCCTGAAACCATACGAATCGAGAGAGAGACATCCATTATAATATGCTAATATTGTAATGGATGTCTCTGACTTCGTAGTACTCTCTGCAGGGAGAAAAGAATGGTTAGTAACCTATCAGTTCCATAGCTGGCTTCCACTTTCAGGTCGACCTCCACGCGGTTCCTTTAAAAACCATCTTGGTTAATTTTTATACAATTTGTCAGGATAGGTTAACTGATCTGCTTTCATCCTCACCTATCCATTCTCACTGGTGCTTCTCCAGCGTATATCTGTGGCATAGTCGAGGTTACTATTCACCCATTAGAAAAGTCCACTCTGCACTATTATTTATCCTGTGCGATCTGTTCATTGGGTAACCGTTTGGCATGTCAGTATATGAGAAATCCTTTGTACAGTGTAGGAAAAGAATATAAAGAAAACCTTTTGCATTTGACGTTCATGTTCGATTTTCTGTTGTTCAAGTTCCTCTTCTGGTATGGGTGGCGTCTCATCCCCACTGGATGGATGTTTAGCTCCTGTCAAGCAAAGTACTTTATGCCGTTTTATTTTTCCATTAAATATTAGTTAGTTACTCATTATCATTCATTAGAAATGTGGTTATACGAATAAAACATTTAAATGGTACTACATTTTTTATGCGGTTTCAGTTAGGATACACAGGATTCGCTACAGGGAATGTATAAGTATGAAGTCACTACCATTAGTGAAAACCTCTAAATAATAGGTACAAAATTCACAAATTTTGTATTATATATGAGTAGAACGATAACTCGTTTAGATTGTCATTAACAATTATAGCCAAGTAATAAAAAAAATCATTTCTTGTTTTCAACCAAGTGTTTTTATTATTTCTGTAGAAATAATCACTAGCTGTATTCCTCAAGTTTTTTCATGTGATTTATAATAAAAATTACAATCAAATTATTAATATATTTTTTAGATTATATTAGGGTCTTTCTAATAAACAATAAATAATTTTTATGTCATATTTTTTTATGAATCTACCGCCCAATTCGAAATGCAATTCCAGCTGAGAAGAACGAGCAAGAAACACAGCTGTTGCTTTTTTAAATTAATTTATATATCAATGTCATTAAATTAAATTGAACTTTTATTATATACCTACTATATTATATATCTACTATGATGACATTCTGTTTTCTAAGTAAAATTTAAGTATTTAAATTTGTTTAGTCAGTATGATAAATAAATATAATAAAATTTTATAATTGTTAACACCTTTCATTTTTAATAAAATAGACTTTCTTTTGTTTAGACATAGATATATAATATATTAGGTCCTTACATATGAAATTGGCGTTTTATATGGAAGGATTATAAAGTAATTTTTTTTTATATATTTAATTAATCAAAGTATGCATTGTTATCTATGCACTTTTGCCATCTCATAGGTTGACATTGATCCCTTTACTAAAAAAACCATGAGGGTGAGAATCAATAAACTCATTGAAGGCGGTTTGAACTGCCGCATCGGAGTTGAATTTTTTTCCTTGTAAGAAGTTGTCCAAATTTCGAAAAAAAATCGTAATCTGTTGGAGAAAGGTCCGGGGAGTACTGTGGATGTCGCAGACATTCCAATTATAGTTCATCTAACTTGGTGGTTGTTTGTTGTGCAGTGCGTGGTCTTGCGTTGTCGTGAAGCAGCAGTGGCCTAGAGCGATTGATCAATCTCTGTCGTTTAGCAGATAGTTCTTCCTTCATGGTTTACAGTTGCTGCAATAGATATCTGCCGTAATCGTTTGACCAGATTTTAGAAAGGTGTAGTGAACGACACCGGCGCTAGTCCATCAAACACTCAAGTAAATTTTCTTAGTCAATTTTCGTTTAGGGCAGGATTTGACTGGGTCTCCGTACAGTATCCACTTTTCATCACAAGCAATGATTCGATTTAAAATCCCTTCATTATTATGTCGGTTGAGGAAAGTAACACAGTAGTTGACGCGTGTTTGCAAGTTCGATTCACTTATATCATGAAGTACCCATCGTTCAAGTTTTTATACTTTGCCGATTTGCTTCAAGTGGATTAATACAGTTTTGTCACTTACCCCAAAGCATGTAGCTATTTCTGAAGCGCTTTGTGATGGATTCGCTTCCACAATAGTCTTCAATTTTAATTTTTTAATTCTTTATTTTCCACTTTTATCTTAATTTGTCTTGTTTCCTTTGAGGAAAAAACAAATGAATAACTGTTTTCAAAACTTAAATGTACCAGTTAAATGAAATCATAAATTTGAATTTGGAATTCTTAACCAAAGAGGAGATATTTCAGATTAAAGTGATCGAAAAAACACTAATTTCATATGTAAGGACCTAATATTTTGACGCTCTTTTGTAGCAATACTTTTAAACATGTCCTTAGTTATTTTGCGTCTTTTGCACATCGTTTTTGCGACAAGGCCGTTAGTCTGTAATAAAAAATTATAACTTTAAAGTGTGATTAAAAAAATATTGAAAAAAAGCTTTTATAATTCGCCATCTGTATGTTTAAAACGTGTCAAATTTTTATCATTTTCTTTTCAAGCTATTTCATTTGATACCTATATTCACTGGGTTAACAAAATACATACCTTTATCTTACAGCGGCGACCACCTTAGAAATAGTACAATATTAAGTATTGCATATTGTATTATCACCAGAATTGAATAAATACGTGAAATTTCAACAAAATAGATTAGGGGAAAAATGTTCCAATTCGACTTACAAAATTTGATCCTGACCTAAGTAAACATTCATTGCAAATTAAATCAGAGCTTGCAAGCATCGTGGAAAGTAGGTCAAGGGTGATTCTTTGTGTAATGAAATTGGATTTCGTAAAGGTCAATTTATCCTGTATAGATAGGTTTTCGACAATAAAAAAGTTTCCTTGCAGCAAAAAATAATAATAAATAAAGTATATTTTATACGTACCTACATTTGATCTTATTTGTGCTTTATTTATTAAGAATAATTAAAATTAAATTAAATCGACAATGTAAATATGTACGTCTTTGTATTTCGCCTAACTTTCTTTAAAGGTTTATTGTTTTGTGATCGACTCGCAAAGAAAGATGATACTTAGCATGCGCTTTATTGCGATACATCATATTATTTAGAACATAAGGATAGTACCTGCGGCTCTATAAACCGAGTTCAATCCGCCTATAAAAATATATTGCAATAGTTTCTATACGAAACATTCATTTACAAAAATGGTTATTTACTAAACTGTTACGACACTCAATCATTTTTAAAAGTTGCCGTGTGGTTCCAGCATAGAATGGGTAACTCCTTCCTTTTCCGTAGGTGTCGTAAGACGCAATTAAGGGAACTTAATGGTCAAGAGATGGGCAACAGCAACCCTCTTTAAACGATACCCAAAGCCTAACTGCGGTTGCCAAACCGCTTGTCAAGCGTGACTACTACTGGCAAAACCTCCCTTACTGGAAGGCCTATGTTCAGCAATGGACAGTGAATAGCTGATATGATTATGATGACAAGACCTAGAAAACTATGTTAATAAAATGCAATGTTTAATTCATATATTTTTGTCCACCGTAACAATGCAAAGTGTTTCAGTGCTTCTGTAGTAGATAATCTGGCTTCTCTGCAATTACGTTTAAGATTCTGTTGGTACTTCTGCGGATTCTACGCCACAAGGATGCAATTCTCGTTATGATTATGGTGCGAGAAACGTCAGTAGGTATGTGCTTCCGAAAACATTCGACAGAACTGCGGGAGCCCTATTGACACCACTAATATACTGAAAGCGATGAGCGTTGTAGCTGTTCAGCGTATAAGTAACCCACAGGCTACACGTATAAAATGTTTGGCAGTAAGCCCTAAATATAAGGTATATTTATACGAAATAACTAAAGGTTATAAAATAAATAAACAAACCAAAAAAATATATTCTACAAAAATTGTTGCGAATAAGATTATTAAAATCATTTTTATAAACATAAATAAAAAATTGCTTTTTAGAACTTACTTAAAAACTTTTAAAATATACCATTTTCTAAGTACATACGTTTAAATTACACAGTATTTTACCTATTTACTAGAGTACATCGTGTCAAAAATAATATTTGTCTTTTAGGTAAGTATCAAATCAAGTATGTATATACAGAATTAATATGCTTTACATTTAGTTATGTCAACTTAAATTCGAATAAAAGGAGACGAAACCGACTATTATTTCTTACCAGTAGGCGGATGATACGATATCCAAAACTGATGCGCCAGTTTTATTCACTAAACGTAATAGAAATTAACGTACTTTCAAGGTTAAAATCAGTGTACGCCACGGATTCCCAAATGTATACTGAATCGCGTATAAACCACGAGGATTTATTCATAGAAGTTTATTTTCATGGTTACTTATACGCGGTGAATCTATGTATGGTGCCACTGGCAATGTTCCAGGAGGCGTGGAGTTACAGAACCTCGTTCCATTTACGCAGCAACATAAACTAAAAATTATAATTTAATAATCGATTAAGATACATAACTGTATAATTTATTCTGTAGTCATAATAGTATTTACTATAAAAAACAATGTGATATTTGAGAAAACTAGTATGAGATTTCACTAAATCTTTAAAGATAAAGTATCATTATAATCAATTCACGATAGCAAAGATAACGCATATGGATAAAAATTAACTTCAATTCATTCAGAACATTCTTTAGCATTCTGATCAAAATATTGATATATACCACTTATTAATATATCTTGATAATAGGTGGCACTGAAGCTATAGTTTGACACCATGTAAAAGAATAATGAACTTGCATTTCTAATATCGTTACCGGTGAGTAGTCGAGTAAGCGTCCTTTTCGATCATAACGAAAATATGTTAGTTTATGTTTACAAGGTAATAATAGTAATAGGTATTTATTATCATACACCTAAATATTACGGCAACCTAATCATATATGTTGTCCTACACTGCGTTTGCCCATACGGAATCGCTTTATGAGAAAGAACAGATTCTTATTTAAATTAAAAAAAATATATCTTTTTTGGGAAATTTTTAATTTAATTACTTGCAACACTGAAAAAAAGCGCGCCTTCATTTGATTTAAAAATAGGTATATCTCAACTATTGGCGAGCTAAATATTGGTCCGTTTTTGAGATTCAATGCTCTATTTATATAATTTAAGATTTTAATGTTTTCGAAACCTATTCTATATCATTATTTATTTCTAACTCGATTTTCAATTTACTGAAACTCTTCAAAATATATTAAAAAATAAATACCCTACTTGGACTAGTAGGTTTATTTTGAAATTTAAAGTATTCCTTTTGGACCCCGTACTACGAAATAAAAATATTTTTTTAAATTATTTACAATATGCGTGGGCTTGTAATGTGTAAAACGTAAATCGGCCGAACTTTGGGCCGGACAAAGTCGCACCATAAAATAATTCATTGTAAAAATTAAAAACAACAGGGGCTTCTATTTGCCCGCCAGATGATGTGTGGGCGGGCGAGGTAGAGGCCTCGAGGCGTACCCCATTATCCCGGCTTCTACTCCGGAGGCGTCAACCTCCGGGTCGCTGGATTTGCAACCGGCATACACTGTTGGTCTGTGTATGCCGGCGTGGTGTATAAAAATGGATACAAGATTTATTAGGTAGGCATTGAGCGTAAATATATTAATTAGCTTAGTGCTTACCAGAACCAAAGCCTGAACTTTATAATATTAGCAAAGAAAGGAAGATTTTATAAATATAACTGATATATATATATATAAGTGATTCCTTCATTAGTTTCATTTGATAATATAATAATAATAATTATAAAACAAGTCAGATGATTTGACAATTAGCTGACAAAAAATCGGCTTGTTTTTAAGTTTTTAAGACTCGAGCATAGACTCGAGGCTTTTCTCATATCTGTATACTTAAATGAACTTTTTAAGCTGACTCTTTTTTTTTTTATTCGTGTTATATCTAATATATAAAATTCTCGTGTCGCGGTGTTTGTTACCAAACTCCTCCGAAACGTAGGTGACCCACCTCTAAATATTTTTTATTTTTATTTTCTTGACAATTTTTTTATTTCTATTTTATTATGACTTAGCATTGAAAAATACATACAAATTCAATTTTTTACGCTTTTGCGATCAACCCCTGTTTTTTAATAGCGATTTTTATATGCCGCAATAGGGTTACAAGATAGCAATCGAATATAATAATTGTAGTAGGATAAATTTTCATATATAGTTCTCGAAATAATGTATATGGTAAAACAATGTTTGCCGAGTCAGCTAGTATATATATATATATATATATATATATATATATATATATATATATATATATATATATATATATATATATATATATATATATACTATACGTGACACGAGAATATATATATCTTATATATAAAATTCTCGTGTCACGGTGATTGTTACCAAACTCCACCAAGCTCTACCGATTTTTATGAAATTTTGTGTGCATATTGGGTAAGTCTGAGAATCGGCTAACATCTATTTATCATACCCCTTAATAATAAGCGTGACCCTCCCCAAAAATTTATTTTTTATTTTTTTGACATATATATATATATATTTACGCAATGTACCTTGATATATCTATATTTAATAATAAGACAAAAAATAGAACTAATGAACGCATCATTTACACGTATGAGCGTAAGTATCTTCAATTTTAAGCATAAATACATTTGTGCCATTTTTTTGTGTTGCAAGTATAAGAAAAAATTCCCTATAATTGAATTACAATTCCCGAATTATGCTAGGTTTTTTTAATAACCAATGCGTTATTTTTGGTATTTTGTGCTATTTTCATACGAAATATAATTACAATGTTTATGTAGGTATGTAGATATTATTAAGTATTATGCAGACTATTTAATATTATTTATATTATATTAAAGTACACCGTTATTATACAGTTACTTAAATTATTAATAAAACAATATTTTCTATTCCTATATGCAGGTATTTAAAAAAATCCGCATAAAATATAAATGGCTCCCACTTCAATTATTTTTGACACCAACACATTTTTAAATGTACAAAAGTTCAAAGATTAAAAGAAAGTATTATATTAAGTATTCAAAAAAATCGTTTAAGTAAAAAAAATATTATGGCCGTTATCTTTAATGTTATTTTTCGTCTGTTATTAAAGTAAACATGGATCCAGAAATATCGATGTTCAACCTTCACTTCAAATTTTACTGATTTTTTAAAAATTATGAAGATCTATGAAATCTAAGTTTTGCTTTGAAATATAAAAATAATAATAAATAAATAGTATAATTCAATTAAATCATAATTAATATAAAGTCATATGTTATAAAAAAATATTAAATCCTAATATTTTAAGTTACTGCCTGCATCTAATTACCTTAATCAAAAGTAATAATTAATCTAATCTAGTAACACTCTCATGCAAAACTGTATGAAAAATGAATCTGCTTATTTCAAAGTATTTGTATGGAGATAATATCTTATAAGTATTTTTGTAGTCTAAGCGTTTCATGCATACAATCGTTAATTTTTCGTCATGTTTTTGTGTATTTTCAGTTTGTAAGTACGTATGTACGTATACGTATATATATATATCTGGTCATATATTAAATATTACTCTGTACATTGTCTCTGGTTGACAGTTCATGGCTGTTGCAATATGATTCCTTTGCTGGCCGTCTGCTTTAATATTTGACAAGTAAAAAAAAGTTCAAAATGTCTACGGTTGACGCCTTGACGCTAGTTGATGAATTTTCATAAAAATTTTATAACATTTACTCAAAACTCGGTTTTATTTACGTGATCTTTTTTGGTCGATTATTATGTTTTAATTTATACTTACAAATGACTTACTTGACTGTTAATTTTAGATTTGTCATTCGTGATCGAGGCGATTGCATAGATATTATGCGTCTTTTATCGTTTTGCATGTGCGTGAAAGATATGTCATACTATTATTAAAGTACGTAGATTTGTCGCTGTTTTGACAATGTAATACCGAATGAGTGAGTACTTTAACTTTTGTAGTTATTTCTATTATTCGTAATGAAACTGATGAATAGTAACTGTAATGAAATGAACAAAAGTGTAGTGTCGGTTAGTTTTTGACAGCCGGCAGGCTCGTCATAGGTGACTTACGATTGGTTCCCAATAAAAATGAACAGTCGCAGTAGTGTAAATGAAACGAATTTGGTGAATTTTTGCGGCTCAGCAGCGGATCTAACGACCCTAAATCAACTGGACGCGAAAGACGGTCTTTTAACTTTTCCATTTGATCACATTTACGCATGCCACTCTGAAAGCTCAGGGAGAAGAAAAACTCTTCAGCTTGAAAAAGAGGTAGAGATTGCAACACATTGTGTGATTACTGATGAAAAGGACTCAGTGGTTAATAAAAATATAGATGTCAATCGTCTCACAGAGAGGGTAGCTGCTCTGGAGAATCAAAACAAGAAGCTAAAGGATCTTCTTATTTACCATCTTGACTTAATACAGCAACAGAATGAATTAATTAGTAATAGGGAGAAGTTGCAACAAGCTTTAAAACAAGAAAACGATACAGTAAGTTTTAAGCAAAATTTCTTCATATGAATAGAAAAATATTTTTATTATTGCTATTGCATAATATATATATAATTCTTATTTGCAGTTTATATTAGGCATAAAATAGTTATTATAGAAATAAATGGATAGATATATCTATATTTTTAATAAATTAAAGTCTATTAAAATCTTTCAAGATATAAATATGACTTTAATTGTACACTTTATTACAATTCTGATGCTATTCGTAAGTGAAAATCTAGCAGGCCATAACTTATATGCTAAATTACAAGTTACTAAACCCAACAGTTTGCATTGAGTATTTAATGATAATTCAGAATATTTGTCTTACCATGTGAGTAAATATGTTTTTCAGATTAAAATACAATAGTATATGTTTATTTGAACTGATTATGAGAATGTTATACATTGTGAATTGTATCTGATATTGTATCTATGCTTAGTAATTATGTCAATTTATGGATATACAAACATAACCTCACTTTATACACTGTATCCTTATAAATTGTTATTAGGTAATTTGTATCAATACTGTAATTGTACCATTTTCAATATGATGCTATGCGAGTTTATGTGCCATCTCTTAGTGTACATAATTTAAATTTTATGTGATCAATTGTAATTTACCCTTTTTACATAAATAATATTTATCTTTGTGAATTCTGAACTGATTAGGTCATTCTATAATTTTTATTTAGGGTTTCAAAAATTTTTTATGGAACATAATTGAAATGTAAAAAACTGTCTTAATAGTATTTTTATCTGTTAGACTGGGGTATGTTTACTGACTGAAATAAATAGTGCGCCTATGTGTTTCTCTGTCCCATAGTATATATCATTCTCAAATCATAGTGATTGGAAGCCATTAAGATACTAAGAGGTAGTAAAAAAACAAATAAACTCAATTTCACATTTATAATGTTAGTAAGGATAATGCTGCATTCATGGAAGAATGCACCAATATCCTTACTAATATTATAGAAAAAAATTGTTTTATAATTGATTTTTTATTTACTTTTATACTGATAATTTTCTTAAAAAAGAAAATTTATATTTGCCATTACCTGTGTATTGCTGAACATAAAAGGGTTTTGCCAGTAGTTGCTATGCTTCGCCGACGGGTCCGCACCGCAGTTAGGTTTTGGTGATGTTTTAACAGTGATACTGCTGCCCATCCATTGACTATTAAATTACTTAATTATATAAAGTAAGAAAATGATTACTATTGATTAAATGTAATAAAGTGAAATGTAAATGAAAGTGAAATAATAATTTGGTATTTGTGCATTGATTTTCTCCACGGATGTCTTATTGCAAGTAGCGAATTTTCCAAAATGATTAAAATCTGTAAAGTGTTGTGATAAAATGCCTTGCGAGTGATGACAAAGGTTTAGTTTAGTAGAACATAATGACCTGGTGTCCTGGTGCAACTAATTTAATATGAAATGTGTCAACTTTTCGAAATATAATGTTAATAATAATTTTTTATCATACCTTAATTCCAATAATGTAATAATCTTGTCTGTACTTACCCTAGTGTAGCTGATAATTCAAACTTTATTGCAAAAGTATAAATCTTTCAATTTCAATTGGCGAATATTTGAAACATTTATAAATAAGACAAAATTGCTTTGTGTTTTGTTGCTTTGGGATATGCTTAGCGAAATGTCAATTATTATATGACAAACTGTCAAAATTACCTTTTGGCTGGGCTCTGTTTGCACTTTTTAATGTATTCTCTACTAACAATAAATGCTTGTGTTTACATTTATGTGATATTTACCTGTCATGTCAAAGAAATTCCTAATGAAATTAAAGATAATTAATCTATTTCAATGTGTTAAAAGTTACATACTAAAAGCTATTTGTTTTTAATAAATAAAAACAAATAGCTTTTAACACAAAACTAAAATTGATAACATTATTGTGTGTATTTTAAGTTTTAAATTTTTATTTTGAGGTGTTGTTGACTTGTTGCAATGAAGTTTAGAATTATTTTGTAAATTTTGTGTATAGTTTTAATGTTTTAACTCTGTTGAAGCAATATATAATTTATTTTTGTATAAGAATTTAGAATTATATTTATTAAAATTTAATTTAAAATAATTTTCAGCTTAAAACTAAATTGAATAGAAGATTGTTGAACCAGAAACAGAGTGTAAAATCCTCACCGATATTGCACGGGTCACAGGCAAATATTTCATCGACTATCGTCAAGACAGAACCAGGTTCGAGTTCACAGGTATTATTTTTCTATCTTATTGTATTCTATCTGCTTTATGCACAAATAGTAAAACCTGTAGTACTCATAGGTTTATTAGGTGTTTGACATTTACATTATTATTCAATTTTATTTTTAAGAATTGCTCCGATTTTTCAAGTATGGATAAAACATACAGAAATAAGGCAATAGTACATATATGTAGTTTCTAACTGCTTTATTTATCTTGGTCGTCTCCTTTCGCTTCTTTTATTTATCACATGTTTTGAACTTTCTTATCTTCCAGTTATATACACCATGTGTATATACATATGTACCAGACTTATTAATAAACTTTTTCTAATTTTTGATATGGGGCCCTTCAATCCTTATGTTTTACTATTTTAATATTAAAATCAAGTACTTGAATCTGTTAACCTTTAGTAATTTTGTTTCCTTTAGTAATGTATATGAGAGGTATTCACATATAATTCAATTTAAAAGTACTTAACTGTTGATGTTTTAAAAATGTATGTTGGGTAACATGTCATGTTCATAATATTGATGTATATCTGGCAATTGTGGACTATGACAAAGCTTTTGATTCGGCCGAGACATGACATACTACAGTCCCTCCAGTGGTGCCTGATTGACTATAGGTATATCGAAGAGTTGAAGTGTATGTACATTAAGGCTACGATGTCTATCCGAGTCCAGAACCAGGGTACGAAACCCATCTCAGTGCAGAAAGGTGTAAGACAGGGTGACGTCATATTCCCGAAACTTCAGAGATGCATTTAAAGATGTTTTCAAATTCCTGGAATGGAAAAGATATGGTGAAACATCACTCACATTCGATTTGCCGATGATATAGTAATCATGGCAGAACACTGCGCTCGAAGTTGCCGACGAGTATGTATACTTGGTACAACTTATCCGACTAGGTAAGGTCAGATTCGATTGAGAGGTCAACCGACGAATTCAACTTGACTGGGTACCGTTCGGGAAACTACGGCACATCTTTTCATCCGGAATGTGTTACCAGTAATGACTTATGGAACCAAAACGTAATCTTACACAGTTTCCCTTAAGCAATTCAAATTACTCGGCGAGTTATAGTGAGGGCTATCCTCGGAGTTTCTTTGCGTGACAGAATCTGGAAAAAGAATATCCGCAACAACGCACAACAAAAGTAACCGAAATAGCTCGAAGGATAAGCAAACTGAACATAGCTCGAAGAATCAACAACCGATGGTTCTTGAGTGGCGACTTCGTAAGGACAAGCGGTGTAGGACGACCCCTCACTAAATGGAGTCACCACCACAAGTACATTGCAGTGAATCAGTGGATGCAGGTGACTTAGGACCGTTCTTTATGGCAGTCTTTGGGAGAGGCCTATATTCAGCAGTGGACGGATAATGACTGAGATAATGACGATGATGATTGATGCTGTCGTCGTAAATATCAGGTTGAGTATCGAAATTTATTTCAGGCCATAAAGGGTATATTTACTGCTTTACCCAAATCATAACACCATTCATACACACATTTGAATCAGTAGACATCTTACGTTGAGAGCGAAATATAAACGAACTAATACAATTCCTTCAGTGGATTGTATTTATTTATTAATTAGATACACAAAACATTTTTAACAATGTCAATACAGGCTATATGTGTCGCAACAAATTGCAAGGCCAAAATGTAAGTGCATACTGCATGATAAGCAACATTAACAAGAATCATATTTCAACATTTGTACAGTATCATTGAATAGTTACATATAAACATTATTTTATAAATACATGGTAAACATTGTTAGTCATTATATTTGTGTCACAGTGCAAGGTACGCGCAACATATTCGAAAAATAGGATTCTGGTAAGAATTGTCAATGTCATTATTTAAAAAAAATGTTTTTATTTTAAATCACTTGTGTATTAGGGGGTTCATTGATACAAACGATTAAAGGCACGGAAAACCAAATTGCGGTAATCACTGAAGTATGAAATAAATCGGATCATTATTTATCATCACCATTTGCCCTTATTTGCTATTGAATATAGGCCACACAAATAAACTACCTAAATGAATGTAACTGAGGCACCTTCGTCAATTGATTTGTGAAACACCTTTAACATCGTCTCTCAATCTAGTTGATGCTAGTGGGGGAGAGTGGAGAGGAGGTCAGTCTACATATAGTTTGTTTGTAGGGGGGGGGGGGGGGAGGTTATAGTAAACATAGTAGAACTTTTGGAATGTTGTCTAAATGTTATACCTATAATGGTTATTATTACACTTAAAATTGTCGATGAATATTTGAGTACATACAAGGTAAGCCAAATTTTCGAGCATATTTCGGTTAGTTATTGAGTTTAATTCGGTTGGACAGTAGATTTCAAAAAACTATGTCCCATCCTTGTATTCAAAATAGCTTTTGACCAGTTTGTGTCGCCATTGTTTATTCAGTGAGCTATGGATTGCGAATTCCTGTGGGATTTTATTCCAAATTAGAATATTAGTAGAAAAAAACCAAAGTAATAATAGTTTTTAAACTGAAGTAGTAATAGGTTGGCGTATAATTCGACGAGTGATGGTGATAAAAGGTTCTTGAGCATGCAGATGTTTCGTATAAAGCTAAAAAAATACAACTTAAAGAACGCAGCCATAGAGGCTAGCTGCGTTTTTTTTAAATCCTAACTGCCAGGTAGCTCTTTATATTATAGATTAGAATATTACTTACATTACATTCAACCATTTCTTATTTTCTCTATTGTGTTTTCAATTTCTGCTGAATCTAGATTTAATACATATATTGTTTTCTATCTCTAACTCTGTATCTGTATTGGTTCCGAATTAGTTTTTTTTTTCTAATATTTTTTTTTCTGTATATTTCTCAAACTATTACTATATTTATAACTACACATAGTTACTATTATTGCCCACTTTCCTCAATATACGAATCAGGTTATTTTACTATTGGTGAGTTTGTAGTTTTATCTACATCTTTGTCTGTTATTTGGCTGTTATATTTTTAACAGTCTATGTGTTTATACTTCTATGAGCTATATTCGTCGCCGTGGTTCTATTGCATATATACTTCACTTTTTGAAGAACTCTTTATTTTGTACCTATCTATATAGTAACTTTACATACATTTTTTACTTCATTGCAATTTTTTAACACAATGCAAATTCTTTTAATGTTTGTAAGTTTGTTCGTAATTAGTTGCAGTATATTTTAAATACAATTAATTTCGATAATTTTCTTTTCAGATAATGTTAAATAGTTTTCCCGATCTTCTATTGCCTGATAATAGAGCAAATTCGTTCCTTTTTGATGCTGATGTTAATAAATCTAAATCATTTGGGCAGGATACATTCGCGGCTCCTAGGACATCAGAACCAGGTATTTTTATTGTCATCTATTCAAGATTGATAAAAAATATTGTTAGTTTCGGGTATGTTGTCAGTACTTATTATAGATAGATTATGAGATAGGTTATTTCTATTTTTACTTCTACTTTTTTACGGAGGTTATTTACAACAATATTCATTTGTCATATGGTGTGAGTGTTGTAAGGATAAGAATTGTATTTCATTTATAAATATTAATATTAACATGCATTGAATGTGTCAAGAATATTTATTTTTATTTTACAGAAGTAAAAAGTTACTTACCGAATGACTTGGGTGTTTCGTCTATTTCGGACAATAAAGTAAATTGTGACAATTTTACGATGATCGAAAGTAAACGTTCGTTCGTAGACAAAGAAATGAAGACAGAAAATCGTTCGGAGCCTTTATACACTGTCACGTCAAACAGGTAGTAGTAATATTTATAACTAGTTAATAATAATATTTTACTGTTATTACAACTCGATTAATTTTAATTGTGTACTTGAAATTATCAAAGTTGATATCTTGGTAGAATTTAATTCATCTATCAATGTCTGATTCATCTGTCCACACAGCTTTCTTTTATACCTATATACCTTACCAATGCTATCGTGCCACTATTTTGGCTTAAATTCGTACATTATAAAGTATTTATGAATGTTTCAGTGGTAATCCTGTTATCCAAAGGATACAGAGGAATAGAAGGCGGACAACCTCAGGTATAGGTTGTTTAAGTCGGATGTCAAAAAGTTCAGGAACAGGAACTAAGCTGGAAACGCCAGAAAGTAGTGAGTTATTAATTAAGTTTTGTCGTTGTAAGGTGTTCGTCAATTCATCGGTTATAATTACATGGATATTTCAGGTAAAATGTTTGATGATGACAAGAGCTTTGAACGTTCCTTCAGTGTAAATAAAAAGTCAAAAATGATCAATACATATGGTAAAAATAAAACTAATAATCCAAAAAAGACAACACAGTTCACCGGATCGCTTTCAGACAGACTTCAATTAATAGACACCACTCCAACGGGTGAAGATCCTTATCAAATAGGCGAAGCTGAAATGAGAGAGCAATCTCCCATACCTAAGTTAATGTTACAGAAGACAAATCATGGTAGGATGAAAATATGTACAGATACGATTGGTGAGAGTACGACTACATCTAGGCGTATTTATGATTCTAATATAAATGATGGGAACAGTAAAGTAATAAATAAAATGAAAGTCGATAGATATAATTTATTGGACCCTTATACGCACACAAAGGATAATTTAAAAAAAGAATCATCGAAGACTTTAATTGTAGAAGAACCAGATTTAGATATAGTAAAAACAGAGCCGGAAATTGATTGGCGTGTTTATAATCCAAATAAAACAGGAACCGAAACGAGTCTATGTGATTTTTCATATGGCGAGAATGCAGATAATTTAGCATCCCAAATTTTGCCAAATTTTGAGCCTGTGGAACTACAAGAGCTCTTCGCGCCTGAATTTCCTATGCCTTTAGATAATTTAAATTCCGTAGAATATGCCGCCATGGAAAAAAGCGCGGCCAGTAAGTCTAAGAAACGTGCTCACTCGTCCAATTTAATAGCTTCTAATAATACGGGTGTAAGTACATTTTTGTTACATTGTATGAGTATTACATTGTACTTTATTTTACAATGCTAAAATTAGATATAACATGCACTACCTATTTCCCTTTCAGGATGAATGTTTAGAAAATAAACGTACTAACGACAGCAAACGCGGCAGGAAAAGAACACTTTTAACTGCAGGTCTCGCAAAGTCCATTAAACGTGAAAATAGCCAAAAAGGAATCGCTTCTAAACCAAAGTTAGTTAAGGGAAAAGGTAATAGCTCTAATTGTGACCATGATAAAAGTTCACTTATCTTTAAGAATATTGATTCATTTTAAACAATCTTCGAAGAAGTGCTACTGCAGTCTTGTTAAATAGATATAGAATAGTGTTCGAAATGTAAATAATGGATGCATTTGAATTTTGCAAATAGAGAGGATTAATTAATTCATGCAATTCACTAAAGACGATGTAAAGTTGGTAAATGGTGCAGATTCTGCACCATTTTCTATTTCTAAAACAAAATTCTAGTTTGATTACTGCTAGTGAACCCAATTCGTAATAGATTTGAGTCAGAACTATTAATTAAATTATATCACTACATTATATACTATTACATTTAATTCTTGATAGTCCGTAAAGTAACATTTTCGTAAAACTTTGAATTCAAAGCTTTCGATTTTACTTACAAGTATTAACACTTACATGAACTGATAGTCATGATATTTAATTTTTAGCTGCATGTCGCGGTAAGAAATCTCCGTTACCTGGAATGGTGACTAATAAGGCTTACCATACATTAGTAGGTGATCCTGATCTGTCATGGTACTACAGACTTGATCCACACATCAAATACGAAGACATAGAAACACCTTCGGACAGCAAAGTTTCTACAGTTGAGGTATCTTTTTTTTTAAACTGTAAATTATGGCCGCAACTCCGTTTACTATAAGCATAAATTTTCATTACAATTTTATATATCATTCATGTTAGTTTTTTTGACGTCACTTGAAAAAATAACAAATATGGGAAAATAATAGTTTCACATCGTAAAACTAGCAAATTCAGTTGAAATCTAACATGTAATTTGAATATGTGTCAGATTTTAGTAACAAGTTTCTACTTTTAAATTTAATTGTAATTAATGTATTTTAAACCATTTAATACTTATAATAATTTCTTTGAAATGGAAATTTTAATAAAATTTAAATAGAAATACTTTATTAACTGTTATTATCTTTACGTATCCTAATAATGAAGTTGGTGCGTTGGTGATTCATTGTTCATCTCAAAGGTTGACTGGTAGAGAAAGCTATTAACTTTAGGTCCGCCTTTTGTACCATATTTTCTTTTGGTTAATAAAGTTATTAAAATAAATTATGTGGATAATCAAAATATGCCTCAAAAACTGATAAAAAAAACCATACTGTAAAAAACTGGATTAAATTGTGAATAACATCTTTCTTAAGATTATTATATGTATATTTTGATCAGGTTCCACGGTGGCGGGAAAAACCTTACACTAGTTGTTATACACTTGAGGGGACTGAAAATTTAGATGACAAAGTCTTTGAAAAACGACATCAAAAATTAGAAGCTGAAGAAAGGCGACAGCTAAGGTGCGTATAGATTCATTGTTAACGTGTAGTTTTTTTTATTATTAAGATATTATTTCTTAAAATAAACCAATTGTGAATAAAAATGGAAGTTCTATAGGCGGATATATTGCTACAGATAAATATTTGTCGCAATATAAGAATGTGTATTAATGAGTTAAGTTCGATTTTGAAAGCTAATAGGTTAAATACGATGTTTACAGGTGGCACATGCGACGAATTCGCGAGCAAAAACACGTGGAGCGGCTTCGACAGAGGCAAAGGGATTCATGGTGTAGCGGGGGCGCTTCACCTGCACACCAACAGCCTTCAGTGTTCACAGTTTGGCCGCAGCCACAGCGCGACGTGCGGTTTATAGAAATCACTGACACACTACCTGTAATGGCCTTTGGGGAAGCTATACCAGCGCTCCCCGAATCGTTAGTATTGCTTATTCCTTAACTATATACCTTAATAGAATTAATGGTTAGTTTAAATTCCATTGTTTCTTTTTAGTATTATTAGCTAATTTCTGAGAAAAACATTAATTTTGTCCAGTTAACCAGGCTATATTAAATGCCCGGGATAAAAGTAGCCCATGGAAGATATAGGTTATAGGATTTTAATATATGTAATTTGCGATATTTTGATCCATTTAAGCACTAAAAGAGTAACAAACGTTTTTACATAGTATGAATAAGGATTTATTTTATAATTGTTTTAATTGTAATTTTCAGGGATTTCATGTTACCATGGGTGAGGACTTCTAAAGCTTTGAAGAGGTCTAAAAGATCAAAAACACTACATTGAGATGCAAATATTTAAGTGAGTCAAAGATCAAAATTGTTCAAAACGTTTATGGGCATATACTAAAGTGCATATAGTGACATATTTTAAAAGTCTTATTAGACATGAACGATTTTTAAATGAACATAGAGACTAGTATATACAAGCATGTGTCTATGATTGTGGATCAGTTGAAGCGTGAATATTAACATCAGCATCTCAATGCTTAGTGTGAGCTGGAACCTGTGAGAATAACTATGTGACTTGATTTATGCTAAAATATTGGACTTATATTATTCCGGTGAACGAAGACGTTTATTGCATCTATGTGTGCTCTCTAAATTTTTTGTTTGTCTGTTTACTGTAAATATGCTTTTATTTTCAATAATGAAATGTCATAAACATTTTTGGAGAATGGACTGAAAATTGTAAATATTGAAAGTATGACTAGGAAATTATTACTGTAGGTCTATAAATTGTATAAATATTTGTTGTTTTATGTATTCATTTTAGAATGTTAGGGAAAGTATGAATGTCCGCGGGCCAGATATTGTAATCATGTAATCCTATGTTCCAAATCAACACGTAGGGCTGAATTTTCTAGTATATTGCCGATATTATTATGTAACTTACAGAAATTAATAAAGTTTTTTAATTACTCAATGACATGTAAGCATATGTAAGATAAAAGCAAAATAGGTCCTAATATTTTTATTAAAATATACTTTCTAATATCGGCACCAAAGAATCTACTTATATCATAAAAATGCTTTTGGGTAATTTTTAATGTTTAAATTTGCACATAATGAAATAAATTAAATTTGCGGTGCTGTTGTGAAAAACTGACGCTTAAGCGTTAACGCTTTATTAAGATGATCGATATAAAGTTTTCGTGAATTTGACTATTTTTATTCATAATATATTTCGCGGTCCTGAACTTCATTTTCTCATGAACTGTTAACAATACCACAAATTGTTTCTGTAGTTCCTACAGTTCAACGAACAGTTCTAAAAGACTAAGATATTTTATCCGGTGAATATTTTAGGCAAATCTTTTAATATAGTAAAGTTAAAAACTTAAAAAAATCACTTTACTACTTAATGATTATACATGAAATGAAATTTATTTATTTGTTATAAAGGATGTTTGGACATGGAAAAGTTTGACATAAACATTGATTAAATATCTCCAGTATAGACATTTTCTACTTATTAATTTTCAGTGAATTTTTGTTTTAATGTATCATGAAATGACATAGTATTTATTTTTAAAAAATGTTTTCGTTATTTGTTTGACATTGTCACGCTATACGTACAAAAATTATTGATTGAAAAAATGAAATTGTTCAAAAAATGGAATTCAGAATGAAAAACAAAAAAATATTAGTAGACTTTAAGTACTGAGCTATGGAGAGCGTGTTTTCTGGTCAAATGACATCAGATAACGAACGTAACAATATTTGTAGTAGTTATTCTATATTTTACTTGTGTTTATTTCTCAATAACTAAATCAAAACAATAACTGCGATTTCATAGAAAAAATTCCGTTAATAAAATTATTATGGTTTTATGACCAGGAGTCCTCTAATAACAATAAGCTGTTTACGATTGTTCTGTAGTTATACATGATTGTTGCGGAGTTATACAAATAATGAAACATATTAAATTGTCTTTTTAAAATGTATTGTTTGTATCTTAAACGAAATGCAGGTGGTCAAATAGTTTTGAGCGGTAATGTACATGCAATAGTATTGTTATAAACACCAGTCTTTTCATGGCAGCTTCTTGGGTGGACTGTGAAACACGTTATGGAATTCTTATAACATACTGCTAGTTTTAGTTGATAGATTCAGAGTAAAATAAAAAAAAGAACATTCATACTATAATATTGTTAAAGATTGTTTTTCTATCAGTTCACATTTTAATACATACAAAAGTAAAATGTATATGTAAAATGAGTTTCTGTTTGACTGTAATTATAATCCAGTTATTTGGAAAGTTTAGATTACAAGATCAAATCATGTATACCTCATTTGTACAGTTTAGAAGTTGTGTGAAATTAATATCAGTATGATGAAGTAAAGGCTATAAAGTTGCCATTCCATGTATCCCGACTACCGACCTATGTACTGTACACACTTGTTGCAATAAATTTTCTGATAAATTTCATATTAGTGATTTTAAGAAAATGTACATTATTGAAAATGAATTGTCTGTGTACTTAGGCCCAAAAAATAGAATATAATGTTTTCTAATAATTTTAATAAGGATAATTTTATTTTTATTATGAATGCAAATGTATAAAAGAACCTGTAAATATAATGTATAATGAAATCACTTGACATTTGTGACCTTATTTGTCGCTTGCTTTTTTTCATGTAAGTTTATTATTAAATGATAATTTTATTTTGGAAATTGTTTTAGAGTTGGTATAAAGAATAATAAAATATGTTTTAGTATTTACGAAATGAATTTATTGTTTTGCATTTTAATTAATTCAAAGGCCACAAGTAATTTGATATTAAAGTTTTTTTTTTTTTATAATTGAATTTTGTTGTGACAGAAATAAAAACAATCTCTCCTGGTTGATAGTATGAGGTACTACAAATTAATGTATTATTAATAGTCTAGTGGGAACATTCTAAATATACGGAATGAAAAATTTTATTGTGAATAACCATATTCATTATTCTGATGTTCAGGTTTGCTACTTAAAATTAAATATATTCGAACGTAACTAGCAAGACCGTTTGTACGATCAGGCTAAATTTAACTTTACCGTGATAGATGAGCAATGTTAGTAAAAAATCTCATGTGAAAAAGTATAATATACCTATGTTGAACTGCACGAATTGAATTGCTTCTGGTTGTTGATATAAATACTATTGATATGTAAAGAGAAACAATTCGTATAAGAATTAATAGTATTTTGGGATATGTAATGATGAATTATCTTTATAAGACTGATTTCTTTTCTCGTTTGGTAAGTACATGTACGTACATGCTTTCATATTTTACAAGTTAACATCCATCTCGAATAAAGTTGCATGTGATTTTGAAATTACTATGGGTGATTACAAAGCAATGAATTTGGTGTGTACTACATAAAATTTGAGGAAATACTTGTGGCTGTAGAGTAGAAATATGATCTTATCTTACTTTAAGTATTACTTATATTGATCAAGGTTGTTTGTTCAGGGGTGCATTGAAAGTGGCCTCAACATGCAATAATTATAAGATTTAATACAATCATTTTAGCACTAAAGTGCTGTTAAATAACAAGTTATGTTTAGGATAATGTTTGTTAAATGTTACTGAATTGAAGTTTACTGCACTATCCACTTGTCATAAAAATATCAAGATCTCATTAATTGTTAATATTGGATTATAATAATTAAAAATAGTAGGATTGAGTCCATATATAAATAAAATATGTTCTTTTGAAGTATTAGAAGTAGAAGCAACAAAAGTGCTTTTTACATCAATATAATTATAACACGCGAAATAAACAGGAGAATATTGCATATCACTTAGGCAAAGCATAGGTTACAAGCGACTCTGAAATACAATCCATTTACATGTACGGACCTTAGCTCTTCAGTCACCACATACATAGATAACGAAAGAGAATTATTCAGTGTTTAAAAATAGTTTATTATTTTTATTTTTGTTTCAGAAAATGTAAATTAATATAGTGTAGTTACTATAATGTCGCATTTATTAATAAACAATCTCGATAAAGGTATGTTTTTGTGTACAAGATTGTAGTGAGTATGACACTATTGAAGTAGTTTAAATATTTATCTTCCTGTAACTATAAGAACCTTATTTCGATTTAATTACGAATTCATGTGATACTTCAGACTAAGTTGTATAAGTACATTGAAATAAAGGACCTTTTACTTTAGAATTTAATCATTCCGTTCTAATTTTGCCCTTTACAGTATTTATAGTGCCTACTTATCTCGTATGTATTGATCAATAGTTAATAGGAAAGTACACTTTGATATTCTGATTGCTCGCAGGTGTTCTAGGCATGTTCCTTGGTTATCACATGCTGTAGGTGCCTTATAACAGTCTATATATTTTTACAAACTACTCGATTTTAGTGGACCTCTTGTAAGGCTCAGTTTGCTTGTCAATTTCTAAACAAATACCAATTTTAAATATTGTTGAATAATAATTTGTATCCTGTGTGTAAAAATAGACGTTTCAAAAATAGCTGTAATGTAAATCTGTATCTATACACTTACATTAGGATTGCCTGAACTAAAATAATATCGTATGTAAGAATTAAACAATTTATTCGTGTTTATCTTGTTTTATGATTAACAATCTAGTATCATAAGTCTTTATAATTATTCTTTTTTTGATAGGTAATGATGCTACCAGTGCTATAGGTGTCCCATTTTATTGCAGCATTTCATACATTATTAGCCTATATTTGTTATAGTGCAGTGAGACAATTATCGCTATAAGCACTTATATGGGTTACGATAATTTATTTATTTATTCATTATTGTTATTTTAGGGGTTCGCATCCACTAGGTAGTTACAGAAGACAAGATTTTGTTCCTTAAACAAAAGAAAACCAAACACTAATACTATTTTGATTTAAAATTATACAGCTGAATTGAGGACCCCCTGTTTTGAAGTTTGTTCGAAAGTCCTGTTTGAAAAATACATGCAATCATGTTCTCTGACGGACGTATTCGTCATGGGCTTAACGATTGACGATGTAACCTTTGTTGCATCAATAAGATTGCAATGGTTAAAAAGTTACGGGTACAAAGTGCTTGAATGTGAATGCAAAAAAGACTCCATTTTCCGCGCTTAGCCTCTCATTTGGGCTATTGTGCGTATGAGTCATGGCTAGTACAGCCAACCTAGCTCCGCCCTGAAGCGTAGAAGCTGGGTTCTTCACAAGCGTCATGGAGCGACTTCACCGTTCCGAGGATTTCTAAACGTTGATGAACCACAGACTCACATTCCAGGATTACGTGAGCAGCCGTTTCTTCGGCGTCGAAACAGCCTCGACATAGAGGGCTGTCTGTGGCTCCTATTGTGTATAAGTGTTTATTTAATGGACAATGACCCGTTATTGTCCCTATCATTATTTTGAGGTTTTTTTCTATCTAGATGTAATAAACGTTTTGATAGTCGTTGATTCAACGTAGGTACGGCCAATTTTGATTGTCTGCAATCAGTAGCCTGTATCCATCTTTGGTTTTGTATGTCAGCGGATCTGACGAATCCATATTCGAAGTTGTGAGAATGGAAGAGGAAGAAGTGGATACGGGCCTACCACCCCCGTTCCTGAGCCTCTTCTAGCTAGTTCGTCTGCGGCATCGTTACCATAAGATCCACTGTGCCCTCTTATCCATTGGAGGATAACTCCAAGGTACAAAGTGCTTTATATTTAAAATCAAAAGGGTACAAATACAAAAAAAAAAAAGAAACTATCGTTACTAATTCATACGTCAAATACAACGCAACTCAATTACGCAAAATCTACAATTTGCTATTGTTTATATTTAATAAGTAGGCGAGTTTGCTATGGAAAAAGATTCAGATAGAATAGCAGTAATGTATTGAATTATTTATTTATTTAAACTTTGATACACCATGTAAAAACATATACATTTGGCGGACTTAATACTTATTGTAGGTAGTGATAGTTTAATTGGGATTTAAAAATCAATTACATGTAATCTAAATCAAAATAAAACACCAATTTTGTCAGACATTTATTAGAAATGTAGTAATCATTGATCATCGTCACAATAAGGATTGAAGTGCAAACAAGTTATTAATACATTTTTTTTTTAACAATGGACTTTCTAATTTTACCAGATAATCTACTATAACGTCATACTGGACGATAACGTCATGCTTTTACATTTTTCTTTGGTTTAGAAAATAATCTAAATAACACAAAGTCGTGTCACAAGTATATTATACCATACACTAATAAATTTGGTGGTATATCACAATTCACAACAATTTACATGTTGAAACCAAATGAAGTATTAGGTAGAAAGAACTAGTCTATTATGGTCATAAAAATCATATAATATAATTATTATCTAAGTATTACACATTAATCAATATGCGTAATTTTGGAAATATTGATAAATATAAATAAAACGAAGCAAATAACGATACAATAGGAAATCTAAGTACTTCGCACACGAGTCGTCATTTTAGTTTCAAAAAACGCATTTCTTTGGCAATTTTGAAAGTGTTAGTATTATTTTGAACTAGTTTTGCGTAATTTATGAGAATTTAACTTCGGCAATGAGTAATTTTGAAGAACGACGTCACGGGACGATCAACCTCTAATAGTCAGCTTCGGCAGGCTATGAGGTTGTTCGTCGCGTAATCATCTCATACTATGAATTACGTGTTGCATTGTGTCTTAGCGTATTCGTATCGACGACGACGACTCGTGTCGAAGTTAATAAAAGTCTATAGTACGAGTATAATCCTTATGGATCTAAATAATTTACATCTATATAAATAAAACGTAAATGCTCGTTAAGAGCGGTTCGACCAATACGGGTACATTTTTTTTAATATTATCGTATTAGTTAAATTAAGGTTTTTAGACAAAAAATACAAATTGGAATGTGGAAAGGATGATTGTGGTCAGCTAACGATTACATCTACTTTTTTTTTATGTTAAATCAAGCTAGTGCAAAACGACTTTCACAAGAAGACTTACAAATAATAAAATTTACTATGACATGACTAACAGCACTAATTGGTACCTACAATGCTAGTAAATTTTAGAAAATATGTGATTGTACATTATCGACAATTTGGAATTTAATTAGTGTAGTGTAACAGTTATGGTATTTTTACTATTTCAATACTTACTAAAACAGTAAATATACCAATAAATGTACATGCAATAACCACATAAGTATATGTTATAAAAGCTTTATTTTATGATGTTATATCATCTTACGAAATGCCTTTAAAAATGAAACATAGACTACAAAAGTGTAACAGTGAATAATATATTAGTATATATTGTTATATCAACCATACAATTTAATTTCAGTCTCAACACATTTTTTCATAAGATTGTCAAGCTCATCCAAAGAGTTTTGTCCTAATTTATTTTTTTTAATGAAATCATCTATTTCTTCAAGGCACCCATTCTCCATATCCTTTAATATTTTTGATATATTCTTATTGGGATTTTTTGTTACATGTGCTGCATGAAGATTGTATAAATAATGTTCTCTTAGAGGCTGTGGAAAATAAAAATGATTTAATATAATCTTTATCAATACTCATGAAAAATGTTTTTATATATAGACAATTAATTTCGTAAAAAATATCAATGATAAAAGAATGTTAAAAAACGGCAAATAATTTACAAACATCTGTGTATTTTTTTTATATTGTCATTTAAGATTTTTCTTTGCAAGATAAACTAATACAATGTAGTGAACACTACTAGAACCGAACGTTATATTAAAGAGTTTATCTTACCTCATTAGGGCTCTTTGTATAAGGCGAGATTTGAGGGTTAGATGTAAATATAAATGGCTTGAATAAAGATACACTTGGGTCCGGAGTTGCAGTGAACCAATGAACGTTGATGCCATCGGATGATAGACTTGATACCTGGTTATAATAAATGCATATTTATGTAAATGTGCATAAATAAATAAATATGATCACAATTGCACCGTTAAGGTAGAGTAAGGTAGTAAGTATATACACTACAATGGTAATAGCTGTATTTTACTCAAGATAGGTATAATGTAATTTACAAAAATGTAATTATTATTCGATACTAGATTTTGTCCCCAAGTTTGTATACATGTGTATTTTTAAAATAGGTAACTATAATTTATTTTTGGATACGTTGTTTGGCCGCGTAAGAAAACAATAAAATAGATCCTTTCTGGATAGCTTAACAAGATATACATTCAGATTTTAAGTTCAGTATTGATCATAATTGTGAAATCATTATGCTATTTCAAACAAGAAATTTTGTGTAATTTCGGAACAAAAAAAAAACAGGCAAAAATAAAAAAATATATTGATTTAGCTTTTATTGCTCTTTTAATGACTTACCATTTTTTCTTAAATATCTCTTAAACATATATATGATTAGGACATTGTATAACATTAAAAATGTATGTAAGGAACTTAACCTGACTTCCTTGCGTAGGAAACGTGTCATCACAACCTCGACAAATATGGCTTTCTTTATGTCTCAATATGTGAAACATATCTTTGACATCAAATGATGATTCTGCTGTTGCAATTTTTAAGAGTTTTTCACCTTCTTGCTGTCTCAACTCATCACCTCCAGAGGAGAAACATTCAGTGAAGTTAAATTCGGTCTGCAAATTAAACATAATGTGTTATAGAGTATGCCATTCTAAATACTATATGCATATACTATGAAATACAGTGGGAGTATTTGAGAAACTTTATTTAATTATATCCTCATAATGAATCCACATTTATAAGCATTATTAATAAATTATAATTGACAATCTTGGTTGTAGTGATTGCAAGTTCATTTTCTGGACATTTGTATTCATGACCATGTCTGTATTAAAACAAAACAATAAATTTTTTATTCATAGTATAAGCTATGATTAGTTAGGGTCAAGTTAGCACTGTGTGATATGTCTAGGACATTATATGTATTATAATTTAATATATTGAAGTGTAAAAAAGGCATACCTGACCATCCCAAAGCCTCATCATTTTTGCCACTTCATGTAGATTCTTGGAATGTTTGTCAATTTTAGTAGTTATTGTTAAACCATTTGAAATATTTCTATAACCACTGTCCAATTTCTCAGCTACCCATAATTTTCCACTAGTTTCTAGTATCCATGCTTCTTTGGGATCTGCTATTATATATGAATTATGATAAAAGTGACTGTCATCATGTTCTGAGCATGGTCCTCCTTGGCCATACATTTCTAGAAGTGTAGTAATGACATTTAATGCATCTTCTGCAGAATTTCCTCGTTCTAAGCCTAACCTAAAATTATAAACATGTAATGTTTGTATTACAGTTTAAAGTATATATGACTAGCTATATGCCGGGTACTGCATAAAGGAAATAAAATTTCATCTTGGGCATATGGATGAAGTATATATTCAAATAAGATAAATATTTGCATATTCATTCAAGCTAAGAGGTGACTCACCGAAGCAGATCCATTCCTAGAAGGCGCTTCTGTCTGGCGTCACCATCTCCTTCATTGTTATTTGTCCAAACTGCTTCATTTCCAATAACAACATTTTTATCATTTGCACCCATTTCAGCTCCCCACATCCATGCTGGTTTGCTTAATATAACATCATTAATTGGGTTGGAACTTTCTTCTATTGTTATGTAAGTACACTGAAAATTTAAAATTTTATATACATATATCTCCGAGAAGTGGCATGTTATGTCACATATAGATTGACCTGATAGGTTGTATTGCAAACAATATCCAAACAATGTATAGACTTAGAGATGGTTGTTTGATTTTGAGTGTACGGATAGTAAAATAATTAACTAACTAACTAACTAATAATAAAATAATTATTTTTTTCACAAGTGAATCAGGACTTCGAGAAAATTATGATGACTTTCGATGATGAGTTAGCCCCCTTTTTGAGTACCCATTGGATAGGGCTCCTCGAGTGGATCAATATTTGTCATGTAACATTTTTTGTGCACTATCTCGCTTCCGAGTTTTAGGGGGCAAAACATTTTAAGCTACTGTAACTATAAAACAGTGGCACATCGAAACATGTCATATGTCAAAAAATTCATATATATTTTTTAAGTCCTTAGCCCATAGTACCCCTTGTTAGACTGTGTAGTCTAAATAACTTCATAATAAATAACACAGACTCTAAAATAATTATAAAGTCCATAAGGGTTTACTCTAACCCAATGTCCTGCTTACTAACAATCCCTTTTCTCCCCAGCGATAATGACCACCTAGCTTAAGAAACCAATAAAATATATCTGAATGTTGATTCCATAGATGTAAACACAGATTGGGGCGCCTTTTATGCAAGATTGAATAACAACTTCACTAAATTTGCTGCAGTCGAGTATCTTTGAACAGTTTTTTATAGAATAATCAATTATCAGCAGTGGACAGTGAATGGGATAAGCTGAATTCTATGGAAGAATTCAGCTTATCTATATCTATCTATCTTATAGCTATTATTAGAAGAATTATTAAAAACATGATTAGGCGTAAACATCAATTTGTTGTCTTTAAGCTCAAAAGATTGTTATTAAAGCGAAGTAAAGGGATAGTGCTGTGTGGTCCCAGCATAGGATAGGCCACCCTTTCCTTCCCTGTGAGTGTTGTAAAAGGAAACTAAGGGAGGACAAGAGATGGGGAGCAGTGTCCCTTTTAAAACTATTTCAAAGCTAATTGCGGTTGCCAATTCGCCTGCCAAGGGTGGTAACTACTGGCATGTTCAGTAGTGGACAGTTAAAGGCTGATATGATGATTAAGATAAAACGGATAGTACAAACCTTAAGCTTACTGTCTCTACGACCCCCTTTGATATAAACAACTTCTTGTACCTCATTCTGTGGACGGTCGGAGTTTTTGCCAAATATCACAGTTTTGTGCTTGGTAAGGTTTGAGAGAACAATGAAAGTGTCACAAGATTTTGGAAATATCATTTCCGTTAATAAGTGTTACAGTAGTTTGACTTGGTACAGTATTTATAAGACAATATATTAGATTATTTATATTTTAGTTTTATAGAATGGAGAAAAGTCTGCATAATAGAATACAATATGAATGAAACCACAGAGCTAGTAGCTGCTACGTTATAAGAGTTGGCACCGGCCTTAAATAGACAGAACCTGGAAAATAAAAAACCAATAATACAATGAAAGTTAAAATATATAAATATATATATATATGCTTTTTAAAACGTTGAAGACCGCATTACAAATATTATTTTTTAAATATTTTTTTAGTAAAAAATAATTCTATGTCAAATTAACTACGTACAGTATATACAATTTCTTCAAGCGAGCGGCAAATCGACTGTATATAAATAGTATTTAAATCTTGCCTACCGGTGTATAAGCGGTTCCCAAGTATAACATGTCGTGTGCCCATCCGTGAACACGCGGGCCAGCAATATTATTGCAGAGCGACTCGCCGGTGGGCATGCGGTCATTAGCATGTCAAGATAGTTTTGATAATAAATTAATATCTATAATATTGTACCACGATTTATTCTTCCATCTAATATATATCCATAGGGGGAAAGGGATTGTTAGTAATGGGGTCTAATAGTACCATTACTGGCAACTCAGGTTGACCTCCACGCAGTTTCCCCTGGAAACCATCATGTTTAATTCTTGTTGAATTCATCATGGTGGGCCAATTAACCTGCATTCATTCTCACCTATCATCTTCCACTGGTACCTCGTTGGTGTATACCAATAGCGCGGGCGGGGCAACCAATAACTTTTCACCCATTAAAAAAAATCCATATAATAATCGATATGTAATATAATGTAAATTGTACTCTCTTTTCCGCGCTTAGCCTCTCATTAAGGCCATTGTGCGTATGAGTCGTAGCTAGTACAGCCAGCCCAGCTCCGCTCAGAAGCACAGGAGCTTCCTACGATCTTTACAAGGAGAGACAGTGACGTAACAATAGGGTGGCACGACTGGCAAAATGCCACGGGTCCCCCACCGAAAAGGGCCCTAGATCAAGAGACCGCGAGCTCAAAAACATTTTGTTTTTGCATTGTACCTGAGTATTTTATTTTACGTGTAATTTTTTTATTGATAGGGCCCTTCGAAAGTATTTGCCACAGGCCCCAAATGGTACAGTTACGCCACTGAGGAGCGACCTCATAGTTCCGAGGATTTTTAAACGTTGAGAGGGCATAGCTTCACATTCCAGGATTACGTGAATAATCGTTTCTTGAGCGTCAAAACAGCCTCGATATAGAGAGCTGTCTGTGGTTCTTATTGTTATAAATGTTTGTTTAATGGACAATAATCCATTATTTTCCCTATCATTGTTTTAAGGTTTTTTTCTATCTAGTTATAATAAACGTTTTGATAGTTTTTGATTCAACATTAGCACGGTAAATTTTGATTGTCTGCAATTACTAGCCTGTATCTATATTTAGTTTTGTACGTCAGCGGATCTTTGACGAATCGACGAAGTGACGATAAAATGACGAAGAAATAGATACGGGCCTACTATTTTCGTTCCAGAACCCCTTCTAGCTAATTTGTCTGCGGCTTCGTTATTAATCTACTGTGCTTGGAAGATATCTCATCCAGTACCTGGTGGCATTCGATTATTAATTTGTTATTTGTCTTGTTGTTTTATAGTGCTTTCAGTACCGTTGTGCTATTTTTTTTATGGGTGAAAATGGTATGGTAACTCCGCCCGCGTCAACGGGATACGCTGGCGGAGCACCAGTGAAGGGTGATAGATGAGAATGAAAACAAGCCAGTTAGCCCATCATGATGTATTCATCAGGAATTAACCATGATAGCTTCCAGGGGGAACCGCGAGGAGGTCGACCTGGTTGGGTATATTGCTAGCAATGAGATTCTCAGTCTCCATTACTAACAATCCCTTTCCCCCCAAACTTACTATATTTCATTAATTATTTATACATAATTTTAAGTACTATTTATTTTTGTAATACATCATTATTTATAATTGAATTTCAGTTCATATTGATAAATAGTATTTATCATGGTAAGAACAATACTAATGGGTTTTAGTTAATTTTAAGTTAAGTAAGTAAGTTCGACAAAATTTGTAATATAATATAGAAATTATCTCCGTTACTATATGAACGAATAAACTAAATAATTATATAATACATGCAAACTTTAATTATACTTAACTATAATAATAATAAACTTGTGTGTGGTTCCGGCATAGAATAGGTCACCCCTTCTTTTCCCGTGGTTGACATGGGTGGGTGGGTGGCCAAGATACGAATATCGGAGAGCAAGCGAGAAGCAGCAGCGTCCTTTTTAAAACATTTTCATGCTAATCCGCCTGTCAAGTGTGGCAACTATGTGCAAAACCTCCCAAGGGGGTAGCTTATGTTCAGCAGTGAATAGTTAGTCTGATATGATATGATAATATTAATTATAGATAGATACAATAAAGAGTATCTTTATTGTTTCCTCTGTAAGATTACAATAGTAAAATTATTATTAATATAAAATAATTATAATATAAAATTATTATAAATATAATTATTATTTGCTCACTGGCTCAAATTTGAGCTAAAAATGTCGTTTATTCTTTGTATTATTTTATACTTAACACTATTTATTTACATTTCTATTTATTACTGTGTAATTTATCAAACACATATTAGGTTTTTTTTATATAAAAAAATGTATTTATAAGTAAAACGCTGTTTTTGAAATGGCAACTATTCAAGATGCCATGTTTCACCATGATGGAATGCAGCTTGGTAACATAGTTTCTTACAAAAACGTCATTTCAATAACGATGTTCCAACTGTTGCAAGGCGAATGAAAATAAACAAATGGCTTTATGGTTACTGTGCAGAGCAATGAATAGATTTCTCTGCCGAAAGCAGAGTATGTTATCTATTTTCCCTTTATTATCTATGACAGTGCATTATAACATAGATTAGAAATAGTACCTGTCACATTCCTGTTTTATGACATATCTCTATTTATCTACAATTCTTTGTACTCTATCCATATAAAAAAAAATATGCCGTCGTTAGTCCATATTTACAGGAAATTAGATAAAATTACAGCAGCAGAAATGAAGAAGTTGCACTGTTTTTGTTTTTTACATAATAATATAATAAAATTGTAATGAATTAAAAACATAGTCTCAGCATAACTTAGCATTCAATTAAGATATGTTAAATCTACATTACTACATTAAAAAAGACTATACGTCAGTCTTTTTTTGTATTTGTGTTTTCATTAAGCATAGGGTATAGAAAATTTAAAAATTTCTACCGAAAAATTGTTACTTATAAGTTTTCTATTACTACTACTCGACAATAGATGGCGTAAAAATAAAATAATGTAAAAACCCTATGTAATAAAATTGTAATAGATGAGGTAATAAGACCATTGGAAGCTAAAATAATAATTTTTAGCTGTCTATTTCTATATATGTTTATTGCGACATCATGTAAAAACTACTGCAGCAAATTGGAAGCATTTTTTAGTTGTTTCACAGTTACAGAAGGTCTAACTTAAAATCTAGTTAGTATAATATTATTACATATACTGTGGTTTTATCTTGATATGTGATATAGCAGTGGTCTGTTTTATTAGTTTTCCTATTATTTAATACCATGCGTAATAATAAAATTAAAGTAATAAAAGATTGTTATTGCCATTGGAATTGGTAATTTCAGGTAACATATATTTACTTAAGTACAGGCGAACAATAGGTTGCAGTCATAGTTAAATCTATTTATACAGGTGAAACAAATCAGTGCATCACTATCAAGGTTCAATTATTACAATTGATTTTTTCAAAGAAATTTATGGCGATAAGTGACAAAAAAGAATATCCTATATTAACATGGTGTGTCCAACTATTACTACGGGAAGCTCAATACTGCTGTTTATAATTTTTAGTTTTACTAAATTCTAATACATTCTAAAATATAGAGTAGATTCATAGTTTTATATGCCATAGTTTTATTATTGAAAATAGTTCTTTTGAAGTTAGTAAAAAATAAATTACGGACCAGCGGATATAGATATTATATTTTAAAAATTACAAAACACAGAGTTTGGAGAGTAAACCAGTTTAAAGAAATATTGCAAAAAAATTATTAGAAAATGTTAATATATACAATAAGAGGTACACGAAATTTTCTTTTTTAAATACCTACTAATATTATTCTCCCTGGTTTCCTGAAACAGAAACCAGTCATAAAATAACCTGAAATCTGACATAATGCAAGGAATGTCTTCAGGAATGGCAGCATGAGAAATCACAGTGTATTTTGTGGTGTCAATAATACTGTTCAAGTCTATAGACGATGATTGTCACATTTACTGTTCTATGTATCATAAAAAAAACTAGTAGGCACCTACGATTAGTGTCCGACCGAGCTTCTGCTTAGGACCTTGACCAATTTCAGTCGGACTTTTAGAGTTTTAGTTCCAACTATTTTGGTGATTCTCTTTGTCTTACATAATAGTAGACATCTTGTATAATATTTTACTCATACTTTTGGGTATGAAATGTATATTGTTGCTGTTGATTAGTATTCCTTAATAAAATACAATATTATTCCTAGTTACAAAATTTATTTAAATAAGGCCGAAATAAACACGTTGTTACTCATAACTTTTGCGGGTTTATCCGTTAAAAGCCTAGACAGATATAGTCGTGAAATGTGTTGGTCCCTTCCGGCCACATTAAAAGTATCTGCTTGCAATATTAACACTAACAGATATTACAACAAATACCTTTATCTACTACGTAACTACTGACCGAGAATTGATCTTTGCAATATTACGTTAAAATAGAATACAGGCATACAGTATGTTAATGAAATCCATTCCGTATAACTAGTGTCAATATTTATTAACAGGATCTCAAAGGTTAATTTGTGTCCTAAAATATGTATATTACTAGAAACTGAAAAATAAATAGATAATAAAAAAAAAGACATACTTGTAACTGTGGTACAGTACTGAATTAATAATATATGTACATAAAAGTAAATACAAGTATGTACTGTATTTACATACTTTTATGTACATATATATTTACATAATTTTATATGTATTTCCACTTATATATGTATATTTTTTTTGAATGAGTGAAAATGGAATGCTCGCCTTGCCTGCG